AAAGTGAGAAAGTGGGCTTGGGCCTGTTGGTTGATCCAATTCACAAACCACCATAAGTTTTTAATAGTATTGACCCGGCCCATTTAAATTCCTTGTCAAAATGGGTCTCCTAATAACTCTGGGATAGAGTTTCTTCTATAAATACAACCTATGTATAAAAATATGTACGTAACTTAAATCCCCTAAAACCTATATACAACCTATAAATATACCTAAACACATACACTCTAAACCTTCCAACTTCCACTATGGTTCCGGTAGTACTACTCACGATTTTAATTGATATGATTCTCATACTCTTAGTTTTGCTCGAGACGCCCTTAAAAAAGCCGAAAATGTCAAGCCTCGATGAGATCAACCACAGCTGCTATGGGACCGCTATATTGATAGTCGTGGGGAATATCATATTTCTCGTGATGATTCAGAAGCGTGGGATGATGGGCCATTTGAGTCTTGAAACCACTCTCATTGTGTTGTCCCTATGCTTGCCTTTGTGATAGACCGGCTGCATTGTCATCTTGCTTCTCTTGAGAAGAGCATGGCTTGCAATTTAAAAAGGATCAAAGAATTAGAAGAAGAGAATGCTTGTTTAAATTTGAGGTTGAGGCACAACAGAAATCAGTGCATCCAATTTCATCATCAACCTTTACATGACCAAAACGTTGATGGGTATAAGAACTCAGTGCATCATCTTACCCAAAGTTTAAAAAAAAATGTTGCGGTAAATATTGAACGAGTATGCCATTTAGATTTAGGTAGCAAGAAGAATTATTCACACCATTAATTGTAACGATTTGGAGATTCTATGTACTTTTTTCTTCTTCCTTTTATATGGAAGTTGCTTGGAGAGTTTGAGGATGTATTTCAGTTTATTGCTTTTGTTTTTTTGTTTTTTTGGCAATGAAATTATTGCCTTTTTATTTATTTATAAAAATTGTACATATACCATGCATATTTCATCCGATTAAAAGTGTATTTTATTCCAACAATAAGTTGGTATTGGATTTGATGGGGTTGGGTTGAGTTGACCTAATAATAAGCTGGTATTGAATCCAAGAAATCATAAACTGCTATGTACGGGTTGGAACTAAAACTTAAAAGTGGACTTAATTTTGAGTTAATTCGACCAAACCGCCTAATCCAATCACAAAAGGGTTGGGTTAGCTTAATAATGAGAGGATTTTGGGTCCAATAAATCATAAACCACTATATATGAAGTGGGTTATGAATTAAGACCAAAACCTACTCAATCCAACTCATGTCCACCCCTAATTGACATGCGTGACGCATTTAATGTGACAATGAAAATTCGAACTTGATGGGGTAATTAGGACAATCATCTCTTGCATAATTTTCTATCTTGGAAATATTTAGTATGATCTTACAATACGTCTAATGCATGCACTGCTAGTTTACTACTTCAATAGAGATTAACTTGTCACGTGACACAATGAGTAACATGTTTTGTCCAATTACAACATACCATATGTGTTATAAGTTTCTATTTATAATGGTCTTTGGGGTCAATCTCTCAGTTGTCTAACAAAAAGGACTATTATTTGGTGGGGGGGGGGGGGGGGGTGTGTTTTTGCTGTCCAAATACAAAGTTCAAAAAAGTATGGTCCCAATTCATCATGTGACCCCAATTTACCAAAACCTTGAACCCATTACATTAGCATGCTGAAAATATTTTGTGATTAGAAATAAACTTTGATATGTGAAACTCAACTAATTAAATTGCAGGATGCCAACGGGTTTCATATTCAAATCTTCATGGCATGACAAAAAAATAATAATCACTTGTATAAAAAAAATTCCCTTTCCCAATATCGCTTGTAATATATATGTATATCAAATGGCAGGGATTTTGTACAGACAAGGGCAACAAACAACCTCCCATCTCAATAATAGAGAAAGGCCCAGAGATTTAAGCTGGGGGTTGCTTGTTTTATATGATCATTCTTGTTATGAAAAAGGGAAAGGGGAAATATTAAGGGGGGCCGTGAACACTGAAGAAGAGTGTTTGTCGTGAAGCTAAAAGAGGCTTTTTTCACATGGCCATTATTGGCATTCTCAGTTTTAAGCCTAGATGCTTTTTTATTTATTTTGTTCTTTTTAGTTAAAATTTGCAAGCGTATGATTCAAGATTGCACCTTTGGCCCTCCCTACTTGATTCATACGAGCAAATGAGTTGTGTAACCAAACAAAAGAGTAATATGATGAACTGCGGGGGTCCATTGTTCTGCCTAGGCTTTATCCGTTGTTCTTCCTAGGCTTTATTATGTTACCTTGACGCCATTGTTAGGCTTCTTAAAGTAGTTCACGTCTCTCTTTTCGGCGATTAGATTAATTTAGAGTAATTATAAAAAGATGATATTTTAAAAAGCAATTATTCTAGTCATGTTTGCGCTTACTTTCCATTTGGAGTCTTTAGATTAAAGCTCAAGAAATAAAATAAGTGCATAACCTAGATTACATTTACACTTCTATGTTGACTTCATATTTCCAACACAGTATAAACAAATTCAAGTCCATCGAAAATGCAAATCATAAAAAGAAAAAGAAAATAATGATTAATTCTTTTATCCTCAAATGTAGAGACTTGTTTGAGAGTGATTCTGGATACGCTAATAATCACTTTTATGGAGAATCACTTTATGGTTTTAAGTGATTTTATGGAGAAACATATTCCTAGAATCATTTAGAATCACTTAAAATTACCAAAAGTGATTATATGAAGAAGCACCTACATGGGAGGTGCTTCTCCTCAAAAGTGATTTTAGCATATCTAAATTCACTCACAAACAAACCCTAAATGTGATTGACATGATTGCAACAGATAGGCCAATAGATAAAATTGATTAAAAAATTAAATGAAATGGGTAAAGAGTTATGATATTTTTAATCACGCGTTAACATTAGCATATTCCAAAACAAAGACCATTACATAGTGCCTCACCCTCTTCTATAAGAGTACTTCAATCCCAAAGGCAAGGGCAAGACAAGAGCTGTCACTTTTACATGAATAGTGGCAGCCCTTACATATTTTGCTTCCACCCATATGGGCAAGGGTAAGGGCAATTACTATTCACTTTAATTTATTTTCTATTTTTTTTTAATGTACTTAAATGATTAATTTTTGATAAGATATTCGGTTGCCATGTGTCACTATTTATTATAAAATTCTCATATAAAATTTCAGATAACATTTTAGGATAAGATTTTCAAATTAAATTTTAGGATTAAATTTTGAAATTAAATTTTCGGTTGCCACATGTCCATATTTATTATAACATTCAGATCTCAAATTTCAAATAAGATTATCGGTTGTCACGTGTCGATATTTATTATAAAATTCTAATCTCATATTTCAAATTAGATTTTCACCCTCTAAAATTGCGCCACGTGTCATCTTTATCTTCTAAATCCCTCTATAAAACTACACCCTCAACTCAGACATCTCACACCATATCTTCTCTATCTTTTCATTTATCAGATTTTACAAAATACATTCTACTCTCAATGTCTAAGGTCATCCCCAATAGTTGAGACTCTAAATATGGTGGATAGAGCCTCATTTAGAGCTCCAATGAAATATTACGAGCTCTAAAAGTATCTTTCTCACAATGGGGGGCTCTATAAGTATATATATATTTTTTATGATGTAATTTATTCTACACATTAATTTTTGTTGTTGTTAACTTATTTTGTTTTAATGTATGTTTATGTTATATTAGTTTTTTTTTTTAACGAGCATTTCTACCAAAAAAATCAAAATTTGGAAAAGATTAAAAAGACAAATTTTGAAAGTAAACACAATAAAATACAAAGTCCTAATGTTTCAAATTTGTACTTAAAAAAAAAGGAAGCATATTTAAATCTAGACACATAGAACAATTGAAGTATGTTCATGAAAGAAAAAAAAAATGAAAGCAAAGAGGAAAAAAAAATTGAAACAATAAACATAAGGGGAAAAAAAGGACAGTTGCAACAGAAAAAGTAATTTTTAATGCTTTTCAATATGCAGGGCCCGCTAGTTTTTCATGCTTTTGCAAGTTCAATTTTCAAAATGTGGGGCTCTAAGGCTCTATACAAGTCCACATATTTAGCATTATCTTCGGCCAGTTTTATGATATAGAGCCCAAAAATTATTTCATTAGGGATGCCTTTTTGCACTTAAGCTATATATTTACGAGCCCCGAGAAGGTAGAGCCCAATTTAAGACCTCCATTGGGGATGGCCTAACCTAAGGAGGGTGTTGGAGAGACAACAACGAGAATATGAAGAAATCAGACGCAGCTGTGCTGAAGAAGATCTTAGTGTATATTTAACTACGAGTTACTGTGACTCTGATTTTGTGTTGTTAAGTAAATTTGTATTATTTATGGCTCTATTTCTCATCATATCATGGTTGTGGGATTTTATTCTTATGACTATGGTATGACTCACACCATGATTTAAGAATATTCTTTATTTTCGAATCGGGCCGTGACAAGTTTTGATCATTTAACCAATCCGTGTTGCTAGGTCCATTGTCATGGAAAAGCTTTCTTCTTATAACATCTCTTCATTTTAGCTTCCAATAGGACTTTGTTTTAGGAGACATATGGCTTGTATCCATGACCATGATTTTCATCTCTCAGTCCTCCATGTCTTGTTGTTGTGTCTGCTGCTTTTCAATTGCATATGCTTCATATCATTCCTTGTCAACTTTTTCTCTTTTCAAGTATCTCTCAATTCTTAGTGTGTTGTTCTTAGCAATTTGCTCCAAAATTTTTGCACATTCAGTGTTCTAAGTGCTCTCTCTCTTGGCATTTGCCGCCTTTCTCCCAATAGGCCTCGACTCACGTTGGATTGGTGAGTCTTGATCCATTGGGGAGTTCAATGGCAAATTAGTTGTTGGTGAATCGTGGAGCAGCGTCTCATTAAACACAATCGTCAGACTAGTAGAAATAATTTTGAATCTCAAACAATTCTTCACAACGTCCCAACATTGGTGATTAACGAAACTTTTTTTTGCCTTGACTAATGGCACCAAACTGCATTTGTGCTTGAATAATCTATTAAAAAATTGGAAATGCAAGAAAATATAAAAAATTATGACATTAAATTAAATTAAATAACATTTAGAAATATTTTACCTCGTTGCCAAGATTTTGACCATTTCGAATGTTCTCCCTCATTTTTGACAACGCATCTCTCCATTTCTCTAACTCTTTATTCAAAATTTTCCATATACTAGCCAAGGCCATTTCCGTATGAGCCGAACCCGATCTTTCACAAAATTCTCCACGAATTTTTCTCCACATATGAGAGGATTTCATCTCATTGCCCGTGATCTGGCAACGACCAACTTTAACCCAAGACTCACACAACAAAATATCTTCCACAGTTGTCCACGTCCCTCTAGTTTCAATGAAAGAGACCATTTGTATTTTTTCACAAATAGAATTTAGTAGTAGATTTTGTGTGGAAAGTGAAAAATATTGGAAGGAGATGAATTTGTATGAGGATTTGGTGTGGAAAGTGAATAATATTAGTATGTATTTATAGAAAAAATTTCCATAGTTTTTTTAGATTTTTCACAATTTTTTCGAATTTTTTTTAGCCAAAAAATGGACAGTCATTGGATTTGATAAGATTTTTGGATTGGAGGCTTTAGGAGAAGCCACATGGCTTATAGCCATTGGTTTCTGGTAGCTGTAGGTCAGGGCTAACATCAGGTTGGTGTTAGCGCAAGAAATCCAAATTTTTTTTTAATGTTAATGCGTGGAATCAACAGCCTTAAGGCAAGGAGAAGGGCCAAATCTCCCCATGAGCTTGTCCGAACTCGTGGGTCCCACGCCTTACCCGAACTGGATCTTATGCGCTGGAGTCTCCTTCCAAGCCTAAGGCCCCTTCCTGCTTGGGCTAGCCCCTGGCGGTGGAACTGCTCTAAGAGCATCTCCAAGGGAGATGTCAAATATCAAACATCAAATTTAAATTTGATGGCTGATGTTGCAATTTGACATTTATATAGTTTTATACTCCACCCAATATGTCAAATAAATAATTATTGTAACAGTCAAATAATTTAAGATAAAGAAGAAAAATAATAAAAAGGGGAAAATAATAAATGAAAGTTACAACCAACTGTCTTTAAAAAATAATAAAATATTCATTTGACATCTTACTTTTGGGATGTAAAAAATAACAGCTGAACTTCAAGCCTTCATTCCACATCAGCTTTGACAATTCGGTTGGAGTGATGTGAAATGTTATTTCTAACCGTTAAATATCTACGTTGCACTTTTGACATATTGATTGGAGATGCTCTAAGGACGCTCTTGCATATATGCTCTTGCATATGCTAGAGTGATGCCAAACTTAATCACAACTGATAGCGCAATTTCCACCGTCAGATCGCCTATCTGGCCCACCCTGAGACCCTAGAGTGCCACGTAGCAACCTAGTCAGCTCAGTCAAATTAGTTTTTAAATCCGTTACTATTTAACAGCTAGCGCGGTCTCGATCACAGGGCGGTTACGCTGCAGGCCGCGCAGCTGATAACCAAAACCAAAACACAATTGCTTGCCAGCACCACTAGACACAACCATGGCCTCGATTTTCGTTCCAGAACCTTCACTCCTGCCTAATTCCACAGCTTCCGTTTCTTCTCCGGCTAATCGGCTGCCGTGCCTGCTGCTATGCCGTCCAGACCGACGCCTCTTCTCAATCTCCGTCGCCACGTGTCGCGCTTTGGGGCTCCGGAGGTCCTTCAATGTCGCCGCCAGCGCCGCCTTGACGTCTAATTCCGTACCGGTATGTTCTTCTGATCCACTCCGTTCTCCGAATGTCATCTGAGTAATTTTGATTAGAATTTGTAATTGAAGGTGTTTGATCAAATCGAATTCAAACGGTTGGAATTTTGAAAATGTAGCTTAATTTGTGTCTTTGGCTAGAATTGGATCACTTGTTGTGATGAGCAGAATTGCGTCTGGTTTACCTGATAATGTGCAGGAAAAGAATGGAATTCATGTAGTTGGCGATTTTATGACGCCTAGAAAGGATTTGCGTGTGGTTAAGCCCACAACTACTGTAGATGAAGGTACTATTTGTTGTATGAGGTGAAGCTTATTAGTGCAGTTTTGTAGATTTTTCATTTTCTGATGGAATTAGCTTTTATGCCTACAGCTATAGAACTTCTTGTAGAAAACAGAATCACTGGTTTTCCAGTGATCGACGACGACTGGAAATTGGTAGGTCTTCACTTTTCATCTCCCTTTTTTCTCCAACACTTTGTGTTTCCATGTATTCTCTTTCAAATTTCAGTACCAGACTTTACAAATGATTTCCAATTTGCGATGTTTGAACCTATATATCAAAGTCTTGTCTTACTTGTAAACCAAAAAGAAGAAGAAAAAAGTATTGTCTTACTTAAGGTACATTATGTCATTCTGATTGTAAGTGAGGATTAGGTATTCACATTGGAATGGTGAATGGACCAGGAAATTTTTTCTCGTGGAGCATTGTTCTCCCTCCCTCTGGTTGGTTCAGGATTTTGTTATGACCTCAAGCATCAAGAATTCACACACCTGCTTTGTTCGTTTTGAAACGTATCTGCAATATTCTCAGCATAATAGTGTATGCATGCGGCCAGCATTCAAGCAAACACACATATGTCTATTTCTCAACCCCCATGGAATTTCCTGCGTTTTCTCATGTTAATGTTATAGAAACAAAAACGTCTTTCTTTATCTGGGAAGTTGTGACCATCCTCTTTGTTTAGTCAATATCTGTTTCTTTATTTGTGCTTATATGGTTGAGCAACTAATATACAGTGGTACTTTTTTATGCAGGTCGGTCTTGTTTCAGATTATGACTTATTGGCATTGGACACCATATCAGGTAATTTAATATGTAAAATTATATCTTAGATTTTTTATTTTTTTTATTTTTGGTTTATCAAATTTTGCCTTTTCATTCAAGTTATCTCTAATAGATTTCATGGTGTTTTCTCTCATTTTCATCTTCATTTGATTTATGATCATATCTATGTATCATTTACTTGATAGCTGGGCCACCACTTGAAAAAGGGTGATCTAAATCTTGTAACCTCAGTTTGTTTGACATGCATTATTTTGGCTGATATGCATGATAGTATATATTATTTTATTTTTTGTAAACATTTGACATTATTTTACATCCAATTAAAGTAGATGAGGACGTTGAGGTGGATGAGGATATTCATTCTGAGGTAGGGGGTAGCTTCGATTGATGATAAAATAAGGGCATTTATGATTTTCTGGTCATATACAATGTGAAGATACAAATGTACTCTGTGAAAGAATAAGGAGATTCAAGGAGGAGAATTGAACAGTAGATGGATACCAAGAATGGCATTGGTGGAATTGATTAGGAAGGATATGTCCACAAGAGATTTAGTGAAGGATATAGCTCTATATAGGATTAATATTAAATGGAATTTGAAAATTCCTTTGTGAAACCTGGTAAGTACGTGATTGGAATCCATGTAACAACATAACCCAAATATTTGGGGTTACAGCTAAGCTTAACATAAAGAAACACAAGCGCAAATCATAGTGTACTCACTTTGGCTAGCAGACTATTTAGTTTTATCATTGAGAAAAAGAGGTGTCAAAGTGTCGGGCAAGGATCACATAGTAATTCACATCCCTTACAAAAAGGTCAAAATGTTATTGTTTCCCTATCATTTTTTTTAAGAAAAAAAGAAGAAGGATAAACTACATAACATGGGCCGGGTAGTTTGAGGAGTTTTATAAGCATGATTGTCTGGAATAGTTGAATTTCTTTCACATCCTGTTTGGAACCTATGCAGAATAAGGAATTCACTACTTCAGTTCAGTTGCAACTGAGTTATATAGGTATGCCCTTAGAATTCGAATTTTTTTGGTGGGGAAATATTCGGATTATACAGGTTCCAGTCTGACCAAAGTAGATTGGATTTTCTCATGGTTTCATTCATCTGTTGTGACCCTTTTTCTCATTCTAACGAGATCCCTGCATCCCCTTCTAGTTTCTCCACTGCTGCCCTCCCAGTTTTTTCATTATTCAAAGAGATCTCTGTCCCTCTCTCTCTCTCTCTCTCTCTGGCCTTCAATCACTCATCTACCCATTTTTCTCATTGAAACCAAATGGTTTTAACTTACATTAATGCGTATGTTAAAGACATAAGAGAACACCAGATTGGTCTTCAGTCATTCAATCACTATCCTCCTATTTCTCTTGGTGTGGCATACGAATTTTGAATAGATGACCCTGATGTCTGTCTGTATTATCCTTTTTGGGCTAGTGACGTTGGGACTTTGTTTGATGGACTATCATGTTCCTTTTCAATAAAAAAAAAAAAAAAAAAAAAAAATTTTTAAAATTTTTGTTTGTTTTTATATTTGTTAGTTGTGTCTGGAGACGTAAATCAAATACTTCCAGTCTCTGCAATTTTTGCATATTACAACAGTGCCAGTGCGTAACAGTTATCTGGTTAAAGAAGTGTAATTTTATTAGGACTATATTCATTTGTTTCTTCTATTGTTTTGTTCGGTATAAGTGAATTCAACTTAGTTATTCAGTTTAGTTTCGAACAAATGAAATGAATTGGAAATCAGTTCAATTTAAGTTTATTTAATTGCAATATAGATAGAATTGGTTACAAATGATGTGTTTGGCTATGAATATACTCCTTTCTGTATGGTGAGGTGCTATGATCTCAAACAGAACCGTGTGATTTTCTGTGCACAATGATCAAGATGGTCATCTCTTACATAATACAACCGTCCATATATTTCACCTGATAGGTCAAGGAAGAACTGACAACAGCATGTTTCCAGAAGTGGACAGCTCTTGGAAAGTATGTGACAAATTTTCTTTAAATACATTCATCCTTTGCTGTTCTTGATGTTTGTCTGCATCTGTTTATATTGTTTTTATTCTACTTAACAAAAGATCTCAGTAATGGGGGTAAATTGGAGATCGGTTTAAGAGTTTTATTACACTTATATTTTTCTTGTATATCCCAAGAGAGGCAATTGATATCAAGAGGCATAATGCTTTTGGCTCCATAGCATTTGAAATTACTTCCCTGCGAAGATAGCTTCAATGAAGTCTGACCAGTACTTTCCTATTTCTGCAACGAATAATTTGCCTTACAAAAATGCTTCTTTAATTGATATGGTTGCAGACTTTCAACGAGGTACAGAACTTGCTCAGTAAAACCAATGGGCAGGTGGTCGGTGATTTGATGACACCAGCCCCAGTCGTTGTTAGTGAAACCACTAATCTTGAGGATGTTGCTAGGTTTTGTTTTCCTGCTCTACTTTTTCCCATTTCTGCATCCTATTATCGGTCTAGTGGGAAAGGATTCATTTTTGTTATCTGATGTCAGATTATTGCTCGAGACAAAATATCGCAGACTTCCAGTTGTAGATGACAGCGGTAAGCTGGTAAGAGATGCATTAGTTTCTCTTGATCTCTCTTTCGCTGTTGCCATAATACTCTTTCTGTATCTCTGATATGCCACTGTTTTCGCTATAAAGGTAGGAATTATTACAAGAGGAAACATCATAAGAGCTGCCCTTCAAATAAAACATGCTAGTGAATCGAAAACATTACAGCCAAACACATAAGGATCAACTTTCGTTCCAGATGTTTATGGTGCAATCATAGAAGATGTTGGAGGAGCTGGTCTTCTTTATAGGCACAATTTTGACATGGTGTTTGTGTAAAACAGCAATGAGGTTGTATTAATTATGAATAACACAGAAACCTACCAGGATTAAGGGTTTATGGACCATCCATGCTTGTCCCTGAGAAGGGAGAGGAAAAGAAAAAGTTGAATGGTTAGCCATTGATGGAAATTCGTCTCGAAACCCATCAACTGTTGACAACCACACACAATGCGCACATGTATATCATTTCTCTTTAGTCTATATGCTTACCTGCGTTTGTTGAACTGAAGGGGCCATTGGATTGGTTTCATGATTGCCAAATTTTCCGCACTAGTTGTTGAACAAATGGTTGAATTGGGGAGGTTGTAGACTTTATCTTTCTTTATTGGACTTCTATTATTGTTGCGCATTTGTGCGTTTGAAAAAGAATAGAAAATGTATGATAGTCAAAATGATTGCCTCATTGGATTTAAAAGATTTTCCCTTTGATACGCATGATGAAAAGAACATGTGGAACTACAATCAATCAAATCTTTGAGGTGAAAGAGGGAAAGTGTATATTTCTTTTCCTTGGAAGTAACAATCAACAAGGTCATCCATTGGAGAAAATTTGAACTACGGTGCACGTAGATTTAGCCTTCTTCAACAGCTAACCTAAAACATCTACATCATTGAGATATGAGCAACTTTTAAAAAAATAATTAACAACTCACATTAGCATGGTAAGATATACCCGATTCTCCGCTAATCGTGGATTAGTCGTTGCCGTTTAGTGGAAAGTTGCATGGAAATGGTTAAATTAAACCAAAAACATGGGTTACAGCTAATCCATAATTTGCACCAGCCAAAATCAGAGTGTTTATGGCTCTTAAAATCTATGCAGCCACTGCTAAATCTGATTGTCCTTGTCCAGGAGCACAGATGGATAGAGCAAGACATGGCAATAGTGTCATTTGACCAGAAATAGAATCTGAGACTGATGATGAGAGAGGCATTAGCTTGGGGGACAAAACCGATAAAGGGCACACATTGCACAACCATCAAATCACGATCATGCACCCAATTTGCCCCTCTTCCCCCTCCGTCCCACCAAAACCAAAGCCCTACCACATCACCACCACCAGTGCACCACCACTCATACCCATCCCATATAATTGAAATTGATAATCCCACCCATATAATTCACAATCAATGAATCAGCTACAGCGGTGAGAACCAGGAAATACCTAACTCTCAAATCTGAATTGCTTTTTTCTCCAGTAGTAGTTATAGCTTTAGTGGTTAGCCCTGGCCCCCTCTGTCTCCCCCTTCCTGTAGGCCCTTTCTGCTCCCCTCTTCTCAACTTCTCTCTCTCTCTCTCTCTCTCTCTCTCTCTCTCTCTCTCTCTCTCCTTTTTACCAATTCCATTTTTGCTCTGTTCCATCAAAATTCCCATCACCAGTTCCCTACCAAAATACCACTTGGAAGCTATATCTCTCTCACCCACCAAGTTCCAACTAGGAGGAACAAATTAAAATTAAAATAAAGGAATAAATACATAGCAAAAGGGGAAAATTAGCTAATTTTCTAGCATAATTTACATCTTATATCACGTTTTCGTAAGGGCCAAAATTTCTCCATCAAAACGCAAAAATCTTTCTGAACAAAAAGGAAAAGAAAAGAAAAAAAGGATAGAAAAAAAAAAGGGATACAGTAGGCTAATCTAATTCTCTAATCCAGGACCAGGACGAAAGCTTCATCATTGCTTCAGCCGTCACATACCTCCCCTGCGCATGTTAGCAAAGCCACCCCTCAATTTCAGAAACAAAGAGATTAAGATTAAGATAGTCTCTCTATCTCTCTCTCTCTCTCTCTCTCATTAATTCGTCTCCCACTCGCAGTCACCGTCCGAATTCTCCGGGTCGGGCATCTTATTCAGGTCGACCCGATCCACGAATCCACCCACGCAGGGCTTAATCTCAGCGGCACCTCCGTTTGGCGCCGCGGTGCCACCACGGTGGTGGCGCATAGCCGTCTCGACGGCGTCGACTCGGGCGCCGACCTCGGTGGCCCGCTTGCGTATCAAAGCCGCCGACATGTCGCCGCATCCGCAGCCGACGCCGCCGGCTTCGACCGGCAGAGCCTCGGGAAAATTGAGGCGCGCCGACGGGCCCCGCAGGTAAAAAACGGCCGTGTCGTAGGCCCGAGCGGCGGCGATGGGGGTGGAGTAGGAGCCGAGCCAAATTCTGGAGCGCTTGTTGGGTTCTCGAATCTCAGCCACCCACTTGCCCCACTTCCTCATCCTTATCCCCTTGTACGGCTTGTCGTTCTCAACCCCTCGCTTTCTATTAGTTTCTGCCACACCTCCTCCACCGTCCATCTTCTTCTGGTTCTTCAATTGTTGAGGGGTTTGGTGTTTGGGTTTTTGTGGGTGTGAGAATGCAAAACGAGTGGGCTGCTTTTTGGGGGAGAGAGGGTTTGCATGCTATTTGGCCACTAAGCTTGCCATCTGGGTAAGCCTCCACGTCTCTGAAACCCAACAAAAGAAAACAAAAAATTTAATCCCAAAATAAATCCAAATTCACCGACACAATCCCTCCGTTTTTTCTTTTTTCTTTTTTTTTCTTTTTTGGGTTTTTGGGTTTTGGGTTTTGCCTTATTAGCAGTGGTTTTAGGCAGACTCAGAGGACCCTGTCTTACAAAAAGAGGGTACTTGGCCGAGTAGAAGAAGATGGAGATGCTCTGTTTTCTCTTTGCTTTCTCTTTGCATCTCTGAGTCTGAGTCTGAGTCTGAGTCTGAGTTTGAGTCTGAGAGCTCTAATAATCTTTTCTTCTTTCTTTTTCTTTTCTTTTTGTTTTGCTTTTTCCAAATGGACCAAAATGAGATGGGATTTATTTATACAATTCAGAATGTATAAATAAATAAAATATCTACTGGGTGGTGGTGGTGGAGGTAGTGATGGGAGAGCTGTCTGTTTGTGTTGTGGGCAACTGAAGTGGAATTCAAAGGTTGTAAAAAACATTTCTCTTTTCTCTTTTTATAAAATTTATAATGCTCAGGAAAGAGTCTTTAAAAATAATAATTCTTTTTAGTTTCATGTACAATTTGGAAATAATTACGCAGAAAAAAGAATATTGAATTCAACCAGACACCATGAAAAGAATTTATTTTTTGTTTTTTTTTTTTTTTTTTTTTTTTTTTTTTTTTTTTTTTTTTAAATAAATAATAATAATTATTTATTTATTTTATTTTTTAATACCGTTAGGAATTGACTTTTCCCTCCACGCAATAACGATCTCAAGAGATAAAGACGCTTCTCTCCTCCCCTACCTGTGACAGGTGGCGGCAAGGTAGGGATAATATGATAATTTAAAAATCGTAATGACCCCACCAAGTAAAAATGGAAAAAAACCTGTTGATCATCTGATTGGGCCGGCCTCATTATTTTATGAATAAAAGGTTACAATCTGATTGTTTGTGTGTTTTGAGTTTGATTCCCTGAATTTACCGCCCCACACACAACAAAGTGATTGAGAGAGACTTACTTTTGTGGCGGTCGAATAAAATCACACTTCCTTTCCTTTGTAACAAGTCATAAACGTTAGTAGGACAAACAATGACGTTGGAGGATTAGACGCTGTAAAGTTGAAGGATCTTGTCTTTCCTAGTATAGGTAGAAAACTAGACAGCGGTTAAAAAAGAAGGAAAAACTTCTACACTACTCTAAATAGAGCGTGAGGAGATTTTATGACAATAGTCGTACACGTGCGTGTAGATGATTTCTTGTCGTTAATATAAAAGTTTAATCAAGGGATAATTATGGTGGGTTTATTATACAACACTTGTCCCTTGTCAACAATACATACATTATACATAATAATATTCTACAATCACATACACCTAGAGTTCATCGTTTTTTAACGCATCGTACAACCCACACAAACATGTGGTTCAAGTAAATCTTCCATTTAAATACTACAAGGAATGATCTTATGTGTTTGTCCCCGTCCACATTTTGTTTGCATTGTATGTTACCTACAACAAGGGTTATTATGACCAATAAACGAATCTCAATCATTCATGGATTTGTATGGACCTTATTGTATATATATTTATATAAAATAACAATAATTTATGATCTGGTTGGTTCCACATATCTTTGCAATTTGCATTCCATTCTGGAAATGACTTGGATTCTAACAAGTTTTTTTTTGGGGTCAAAAAGTGAAAATCTTTAGTGGAATTGTTCATGCCACACAACAATGTTGAGTAACATAATAATCCAATTAAACAAAAATAACACATATTTAATTAGATTTACTCATAAATCAAGTACGCGACGAACAACCCCAACTGTCAAGACGGACCGTCCCTACGGCTAACCTAAGTTATAGCCCAAGCAAATTTTATTTATTTATTTATTTTTTCTAGTCTAAAATAGCAAATCCAGCACACTTGAGTTCACTCCCCCAAGTTCCAATCAACCCAAGTAAATGGACCCCAACTGATAGATTTACTGCATTGACTTGGCGGAGTTGTGTGTGACGCACCTCCCTTTTTTAGTCCACCTCATGTTTCACCACACTTCTCAAATTTTATTAATATTTAACTCTTCACATAAATAAAAACAAAAAACAAAAAATCTTCACATACATAAACAATGAACATTAAAAACCACACTTACCCATTAAATTTTTGTTTAGATTAAAATCACACCCCATTCCTCAACTTTAAAATTGTAATAATTTTTATTTAATATTGTAAAATTAACATAAAAAAGAATTTTGAAAATTAGTTGAGTCTGATATATACATGAATTATTCTATTTTAGAGGTGGAAATGTTAGGTTTGAGTTATCTAGCATTAGAAATGAACTTAATAAGTTTATACGCAAGATACATTAAATCCACCCTATTTTGAAATTCTGAAAGCGTCCACACCCCGAAGTTTTTATGGGCATTAAAAGTTGCCCATAAGGCATTCAACAACAGGGGTTACATCTGTGCGTTTTGTATGTAGTTCCCAACATTATGCGCGGCTCAGAAGAAACCCACAACAATCAGACAAGAAGCTGTACATCATTAAGAGCTGCCACTACTTGCAAACATTTAGAAAGCACCACCGACCATCGCACATACACTTATTTCAATTTTTGGCTAGTTCTAGGGTATACGTTTACACTGCTCAACCTAAAACTTTAACCACCATGGACAGCCTAAGGGACCTATAAATATCATGGATTGATTTTTCAGCTACATTTACAGCTTGGATGGCTACTTGTATTGTATTTTAGTGTACGTACCCAAATAATCATTACAACAAAAGAAGGGCCCTCTTTCAGTGTTTTCTTGTGTTCTGATTTGTGATGGCTAAATTTTGAAGCAAGTTGGTTGGTAGGTTGGAAGATTTAGAAAACAATGAGGAGGGTTGTGTTTTTTTTTAATTTTTTTTTAATAATAATTTTTTAAATAATTTTGAAGGGTTCTAATTAAGCTAGGTATAGCTTTGGTTTATGATATTAAATGGGTCAAATTTGAAAGCTCTAGGTTTGAAAGCTAGATAGAGTGGGGGGTGGAAAAATTGTAGGTGTATGGCATATGCTATGTCTTATTATGAGGCCAGTCTCCATGTGTTTGGTAATTTGCTCTTTCCAGGGACTTTCAGCTGGGTTGGAAACAAACAAGAACGCTAATTCTGATTGATGGTTGAAATAAATCTTTTTTTTTTTTATTGGTTTGGGTTGTTGTCCCCAAAAGTGGAGAGCTTATCCAATCTTGTTGACCTTTTTAGTCCCCAAAGAAAAGGATGAGGAAGTAATTAAGCTGCATTTATCAATCTAATCACGATTAGGAATTAAGCTAAGTAAGAGCTAGCAGCTTGCTAGGCTAACCCATGTCGCAAATTCAATTGCCCTCTTGTCCATTTACTGTTTGGGTCAAAGACATTAATGGGGCAGCATCATCTCACAATGTCGGAGCAGGACCAATAATTCATGCGAAGGATGAGAACATTGAAAATCATCATCATCATCATCCTTCATTCATGCCATGATGACATGGCATGCAGTATGAATGACAGAGTGTGACAAACCCGAGGGAAGTTAGTCCATCGACATAGGAACAGTTTAGGATGCACCATGTTGACCTTTTTCTATAAATCCAAAATAAAAATTACATGTCAATTGATGCGTGCACGGTGCACATGTCTCTAACCGTGTTTTGTACTATAATTATTAATTCATTTATGTTATTTGATGATTTGAGGTTGAGGTCGTGTGTGTGTGTGCGTGTCCGCAGAAAAAAGAAAAAGAAAATAACAAGAGAAAGTCACATGTGTGGAAAATGGGGTGTCTTTGTCTTTGACATTTTTTTAATATATTTATTTTTGTTTGGAAGATGTCACATAGCATACACACTAACTTAGTAATTAACGATGGATGTTTATGTTACGTGCGTCTGTGCCGCCCTGCATGAATGAATGAGAGAGAAGGCTAAGATGGGTTCTTAATTATTTATTTTATTTTAATTATCAGTCCACTTACGTTGAACTACTTTTAGTATAGTTATGTTAGTCAATGTTTACATTAATGCAAATCCACAAGGTTCTTTTTTGGTTTTGAGTGATACAATCCACATATTATATATATAGTATGTGTCGACGAGCTGAACATTGAGATAAAATACGTGTTATAATATAAATGAATTGTACCACCACGTGATTTTACATGAAGAAAGATCTTTATGAAAATTTTGTTTTATGCAAAGTAATTTTCCCAGATAAGGACAGACGAGCCCCAAACATCACAAACTTCAAACAGCTGCTTCAATCAATGCTCCTTCATCCGTGATCAGTTGAAAGTATGTAGTTTTGATTAAATCTTGGACCCTTGTAGCGATAAAATAGTAAAATCTTGAGGATCTATGGCGATATTTTACAAATATTTTTTGTTTTGTTTTGTTCAACTCGCAAGTTCTGGTCGGTATTTTTTTACCATTTACACTTCCACTCTATCACCACAAAAATACAGGGATCGCTTTCCATTCCGAATTTGAAGATATAAAACCATAGCATCACGAATTCACAATGGGAATGGGAAAAAAAAAACATTTCCATTATTGAGAAAATGAACACAAATCATCATAACAGTTAACCCTCATACTAAAGTCTACCTATTCTTGGTACAAGCTTAATGTAAGATGTGGATCCGCTTGTGTGGGCATGGAAACGAGCAAAAAGGCATACATCTTGTTATTTTCTTCATATTACTTTGGCTTCTTCCGCATTCCCATTCGTGATTTGGCATACCTGAGATTCTTGTTAAGCAAAACTTGTGACAGAGAAATCAACAAAAGCCAAGGACAGAAAAACTTAGGAGGTGAGCTATTAAAGGATACTCCAATCTCATGCCTTCGCCTGTTGTCGACGAGTAGAGAATTGTGCCTTGCAGATGACTCAGCGCTCCAGTTGAGCAGGCAGTATCCTTCAGATAAGACAAAGAATATAATTAGAATTGCAAAGCAGCTCTAGAGGCGTTCGGACCAGGAGATTGGAAATTATACCAATAACTAGAGGCTTCTTGCATATACTTGACACAATAAAATCAAAGAATTTACAAAATGCAACAGGATAAGGATTATGGAATTTTACTTCCATTTTCAAATGCCATCTACAAATAGAACATTCCATATCCAATGTAAAACAAGGTTCAACCGTTCAAAATAAATGAGAACTATGTCAGTTTTCACAAGAAGGTTCAACCCTGTTAAAATTAAACCAGAATTATCAGTGTTATTTACATCTTATAGGCTCCCTCTCAGAAAGGCCGTGTTTTATGGTTATATTTAAGACGGATGACAGAACCTAATAGACATGGGTACCTGAAAATCAACAAATGCAACTGGAGCTCCATATGTGCTCTGCATCTTCAATTTTATGAACCCAGGGCACCTAATAAAAACAGTTAGAAAATGACATCACAGTATTGCGGACTATACATATGAATCTACAATAAATAAAGTGAAAACACAGAAACAAAAAAAATTAAAAGGATATTCTATGATAAAAGAGATTGGACAGCAAAAAGCTACATGGAAGTTAAAAGAACTAAAGGCACTCAACAAGGAAACGACTATGCGACATGCCCTCTACAAATACAAATAGGGGAAACTAGAGTATTTCCCGCAACCATACAAGTAAGCAGGAGAGGAGAGGGAGAGGAATTTTATAAGAATAAATATGAAAAAATAGAAAAGATTGTAGAGGAGATGACAAACGAAAAGGGCTATAAACCAATTCCCTGTGAAGTATGGAATGAGAGTGCATCAAAGAACAATTTGGCAAAAGGAATTAGAAAGCAATTCAAAGAGTGGGAAGGAAGATGTATGGATGTAAAGGCCCACAAGGGGTGGGGAACTATCTGTAAATATATTTTAAAGGAAGATAAGGAACCATTAATATGGGGAGAATACTCTTTAGAGCAAATAAGAGGGTTAGCAAAAGCACATGAACAACATAAAGAAGCACAGGGGAATCCAGACCCATCGGAAATACTCAAAAGACTAGAGAAGACAGAGGATTGGTATAGCTACTAACCTTGAAAATACTTGAATCAGCTCTTGCTCCGTACAAGTTGGCCCCAAGTTAGCCACGAAAATAGTTGGGCATGGAGTATTATTTTGTGGAAAATGTTGTGCTGCAGAATTATTCTGCCAATGTATAAAGGCCAATAACACTTAGATGTCCGTATAAAATAAAAAATAAATAAAAACTCAGATGTCCGTATTTTAAATAAATAAATAAAAACACTCGCATGTCCATATAAAAAACAAAAACACTCAGATGACATTTCACATGCATATTATCTAACATTTCATTTAAATAAAAAGTGAGATTCCAGAAGAAAATATATGAATAGGAGAAAAATACAAATAGATCTGCAAAAGTCAAGCTTAGGAATCCATTATCTAACAAGCGATGAACATCGACTTGAAAATGAAACTACCCTGAAAAAATAAAAGAGTGCAAGTAGTGAAGAGATAAGATACCACGTTTCCAGCTATTGTCTCATGTACAGGTATGCCATTGAAGTTTCCATGACTGAAAAGTGAAGGAAAAAAATAAATGAGTACAAGGAATTCCGTAGATTTATTAAAGTGACTATTTCAAAAAGGAAAATACTATACTCCAACTTCATGGACCAGGGCGTCCAGAAACTGCTTTTACTAATCCCTTGGCCTTTCAGCTAGTAGTAATATATTTTAAAATAAAATATGTGCTGATTATTGAGCTACAAGTAGTCACTTCCATGTAAACAAAACAAAACGTGTGCTCAAGCAGTGCAGATGACCTTGGTGCAGATGGATAACCAATGATGTTGTAAGCAGAATTACCCATTCCAGGCATGTGAATGCTGCCAACACCTGCTAGTGCCCAAGCGTGCAAAACATGTGCAATGTGAGCTTTTAGAAGAATGTGTCCTCCAAGTGACTAAGTAATAGTTTCTGATCTCGTAGACCAGTCAATCATCAAATAGATACGGTAAAGAAAAGCAATTGTAAAGCACAGTGAGATCATAAAGTACATCAAGATCATTAGCAACAAAAAAATTGCAGACAAGAAATTCGTACAAGCTAACTCCCTTACACAAGCAGTTAGAGGCAATCCTCTTACCAGAATCAGGAGCGCCCCTTGAATATGATGAACCTCTAGCTTTCTTATCGGAGCCAGATCTTTCATCATCTACATACAATGATCAACAATAGCACAGATTGCAGTTCAAGTCAGTTAACATGTGTAAGAGAACAAACAAGGGACAAAGAAAGTGAATAGAAATAGACCTGTTCTTGAGCGTTTTGACCTAGAATTAGATTTTGCTAGATCAATATATAATGTTGACCCCTTCTCAAGATCAAACACCATCCCCTGCAAACACAGTTCGGAATCAAGAGCTCTTAGTTAAAATTTTGACCTAAATTTTACATAGAGTGTAAAACTCACCAACACAGTGAACAATAATAAAACCCATACAAACAAACAACACAAAAGCCAACTGCTAGTACTAAAGATCCGCCATTCTCCACACATGAATAGGCATAAGCTATTTTACCCTAAGCGAGGCTCTTCAATTCAAACAATTTGCAACAGACTTATAAGTTGGGTGATAGTCCTGAAGATAACTATAAACTGTGAAATACCAACTAATACTATCCTAATTTCGTCTACTGTATAGATGAGACAGCATTGTATATTACAGCGTTTATATACAGATACCCAACTATTAATGTCACAAAACAATGCAAGGTCTACTCACATTCAGAGCATGCATTGCCCCGATCGCAGACTGCTGATCCAAGAACACCGCAAAAGCAAAAGGCTACATTACCAAAAGACCATGTCAACCCACAACTTCAGTGACAAAATCAATTTATATTCCAACCCAACTGCAAAGCTCCAAACTTTTGACCGCTGCAGTAAGCTGATAACCAAAATCACGCATTAATTTAATTTAATTTTCATTTGTCAGCAATACCTGAGACTTCTCGGTTGGGGTCCGGAGGTGGGAGGACTCGTAACCCGGAAACTCGCGAAAGAGGTTGTAGATTTCTCGGGGCTTGACATCTTCGGGAAGACCCGCGACAAATAGGGTCCGGACCTCGTCGTGTGAGGGTTGGGGGACGAGAGCGGGCGCGTAGGAAGAGAAAGGCGGTGGGTGTTGAGGGAAGTAGGGCTGAACCAGGTGGTGCTGTAGCGGTGGCGCCACCGACGGAGGCGGTTGAGGTGGTGGCGGTTGTTGGTAGTATGGGTAGTGGACGGAGCCTGGTGGTGGAGGCGGTGGCGGGTAATAGGCAGCCATGTCGTCCATTTTGGAGCCCTAGAAGAAGATGATTTTGGGTTTCGGGTTTTTTGTTTTATGATATTTGCATCGGCAGTGCCGCAGTGTCACAGATGGGCTGGGCCGGGGAAGTTGGAGCTGCGTAAATTTTATTTTATTTTATCAAAATCCTACCTTTCTTTTTGTTTCAAAATCCCATCTTTTATTTTGATCATAGCTCAGTGTTTGCTTTTTATTTACTTTTCGGTTGGAACTTGAAATTACTTCTAATGTTAGATAAGATACTAGAAGAAAAATAACTAAATTTTGAGTGTGCTTTCAAAACTAAATTACGATCAAAATTATTTTCGAATATGAGATCAAAGCATTTTTCACTCGGTTAGACCCATTGGCTGTAATATTTAGTTTATTTGCAAGTGAAAATCAATTTTCACTAGTTGAGATCAACAAAAGTGTCAACATTATGACAATGGAAATAGCAGGAAACATTATTTGGGCATCAATTTATTGGATCCCCAAGTAAATCTTTAATCATGGGCTAAGTGAATCATGTCAACCATCAAAGCTGTAAGAAAAAGTTTGGGTGATTTATTCAAGTGAACCATTTAAGAGGAAGCTCATCTACGCATAACTGCTTTCTATTTAGAACATTGAAATTTTGCACTTCATGAAAAAACACATGGAAATAATTCCAGAACGCTTCTCCGCCCTAAGATTTTCTGCCAAAGGTTAATGGACCTGATTATTTTGATCCGCGGATCTCAAAGTCTGCAATTTTCATTTTTGCAATACCTTAATTACTAGAAACAAAAGAGATTCAAAGTGAAACTGAATACGAATAAACACAATACCTTGAAATCAAATCAAATGGTATCTAATAGTGTTTGGGACTATTTTGGTGCTTGCATTAGCCTTCCTCACAACCAGGAACGAGAAACTCATGAATTAACACAATTGACATAGTCCTCCCAACACGAAAGATTGCGTTTCTCATTGACAGAGAGTATGACTGGATCACTCGCTAGTGTGTCATTCACTAGCATAATTTAATCCAAATGATAAGGGGAAAAATAATTCAAGCAAGTAGTTCTACACAGGATGTCAACTAAAACTTGCAAACAACAATCTCTTACATGAGCAGTTTTAACACTAAACAAAAGGCAACAACCGACGGTTACCAGAGTACCAGCATTTTCTTGGATTAGAAAGCCAGCTTTGCGTTAAACTAGAGGTGGGTATTGCTTGGCCTGCTGCCGAACCCTTTTCTTGTACTCCGTGGCATCCTGCATAAAGTCGAATTGCAGAGTGTAAGAACAAAAACTCAAGCAAAGCAAAGGTAAATTAATTCCTGTTTAACTCATAAGAGGTGGTCACTTCTCCACACTTAATCCTATTCTCATATGCATAGCCACCAACAGATAGCACAGCAATGGCACCCTAAAGTTGCAGTCACTCAGGGTGAGTTCTGATGCTAATTGCCACTGCCAGGATTAATGACGCAAGATGAGACCCTACTGGATGTCCCAATAATATGCCATCACCTCAGAAAATGTGGGAATGCAACCTTCAGAGTTTGCAAGATGTATACTGCATTATACTAGCTTTACATTCATTAAAGAAACAACAGAGCCTTCCCTCCAAATTTTGCTGAGCAATGGGGAAACAAAAAGTTGCTAAGGAGCAACATACCTGAATGAAGAGGTGATACCCTTCTGTCTGTGCAGGATCAGCAGGATTTGGCTGATCCAGTAAATCCTGAATGCCCACAAGAATTTGCTTCACGGTTATTGCTGGTCTCCAACCCTACATATAAGACAAAGAAAGCTCACTAATTCTCCATGCCTAAGAAGTTGCTATATGTAGAAAACTTAAACAAACAGAAGGTACTCACACTGTCCTCATTAAGAATTGATAGACAAACAGTTCCAGATGGATATACATTTGGGTGGAAGAAACCTGGTGGGAATTTACACTTTGGAGGCTTGCTAGGGTAGTCTTCACTGAAGTGAAGGGTAAGTGGGAAAAAACCCCCCTCCCAGTCAGTCTGCAACATAATATTAGTAAGAAATGTTAATGCCAACAGAAAACATTATATTTTATGAAAGCCTCTTTATTTCTTCTAATTTAATGTACATTGTCCACTCTAAATATAGTAAAGGCATGCTGCTGTTGATAAATAACCATGTAATGCTCACATTGCCTGATATAAAAATCCTTTTTTTTTGGGGTAAATTTCCCTGAAGTACAAACCCTTCAAATAAATACCCCATATACATAATTAACACAAACGATGTTGAATGGACATGAAAACAATAACCTAAAGGCATAAATTTGAAAAGCAAAAACTACGACATAAGGAGATAAAGACACTACAGATAATAGAAAAAAAAACCCCAAAAGAAGGCCATTCCTGCTGAGTCTTCAACTAAAATCAACACAAGCTTCTGCATTATGGTACAAAATGTCAGAAGCTACATACACCAAAAAAAACACAAAATTATTATCTCTCTAGATAAAAAAAGCCTCGATTCCAAAAGCTGAGGTATGGTATGTAATAACAAACTTTCGAGTATGAAATGGCTCTGTTTTATTTTTTTGGCAACACCATTCAAGTTAACATATGAATCATTCTCCACGGACCAGATCAGTACAAAACAAGGATACCCTTGAAAACGTCAAGACCAGACTGGCTCACAAATAGAGTTATAAAAAGATAACTCATTCAACCTTTCATTACAATCCATGAACCCGATAATTGATGAAAGTGCTCAATCCAACTAAATCCCATCTCAATCATGCAAGTAACACTAACACATCATGTTGCAGACATGTATTCTCAACAATAAATATAGCAACGCTCTTCTTTTGTCACAGAGTTTAGTACGCTATGCATTGAAACCACACATTCAAACATGGATTCACCTCATCAATGGTACTGAAAGACAACTCGTACCAAACTATGCGGCAAAACAAACAACAAACAGGCAAGTATAATGAATAACTTAAGGCGTTCTAGGAGAAGCTTTCTGCAATAAAAAAAACTTTTCCAGTCATTTGGTCAATTAAGAAAAGGTACTTTGCACTAGAATTTTTCCTTGATTGTGTTATGGCAAATTTTCCTGTCTTCTCCATAAGAAAATTAGTAACCTTTGAACAAGAATGAGAAAAACCCATCTCAAATGGAGTAACTCCCTTTACCCAATACTCTATTGGAACTAAGAAAACCAAACAATTCACCAGAAAAATAACAAGACCACAAAAACAGTAAAATTCAAAGTCCCAATAAGTTTGAGAGCTTACACCGGTCTTGCCAGGAATCGTGCAATGCCACACCATCAAATTCACCGTCCCATCAGATAAAGTCTCCGGCTTCGCAACAAAACCCTAGAACCCAAAAAACTAAAAAAATCAAAACCCAAAACAAAAGATTTCGCAGTAATTCGGCGAAACAAAGATATGGGTAGATGTACGGACATGAGGGTGGTTCTTCCGCCAGGCCTTCCGCTCCTCGGCAAGACGACCACGAGCTATGCCTCCAGACATGGCGTTGTTTGTGGGTGGGTGGGGTTTGAGTTTCTTTCTGGTTTGGGGGTTTTTTTAAAGAGAGAAAATTGAAGGCAGCGACTTTCGGTTTTGGTGGCTGGTGGTGGTGCGAAACAGCAGATGGATGGGGGCGATTCTCGCTTTTATGGGCCTTCGAATCAATTGGATTATACAAAGCGCTGCCTCCGTAAAAGTCAATGAAATTGCTAATTTTTAATTTTGTTAAATTCTGGCGTGAGAACCACGCCACTGTAAGTAGTTCACGTGACTCACCCCACCACGCTTGAAGTGACTGCTTATTAATGAGCTACATTGATTGTACGATACTGTGGGCGTTGATGCCGTTACCACAGGTTCCAATTCTAATGGGATGGGCCCTATTTTAAGGCCCATTAAGCCCATTGATCTTTCATGGGCTTTATTCATGGGTCTTGAGTAATTGGGCGGGAACTTTTTATGGGACCCATCCAAAAGATTTTAGATATTTTCTAAAGCGAGCATTTTTACTCATCATTTTAACCCAAAGTGTATACTCAACACATATATCAACACTTGACATGTGTTCATAAGCATAACCATGGCGACATAAATCAAAGCAAAAAGTTAACTATAATTATACATATGGACACATGTTAAATATTAAGATATGTGGTGAGCATGCATCTTGTATTAAATTGGTGAGCAAAACTATTTCTTTTTACCAAATGTGTACGTATGCATCCATGTGTTCACACGTCACTAAATAATTGGGAACCGCCTAAGTTATGTAGGTGAAAAAATAAAAATGGACCATCTAGGTCACGCATGGCACAACATTCAAATTATTTGCTGACAATTTTACCATATATATATATATATATATTTGTGGAGACATTAGGTTTGACATTGAAAGATTTTATAGGTTAGGGTGCTATTTGAAATTTGGATCATACTTCTGAGGTGCAAAATATAACTAACACAAAAAAGTGATTAAACCCAGTATAAAAATACATTAAGTTTAGAAGCGATTGAATACACGTGATGTTAGTGTTTTTTTTTGTTCTCTATAAATAAATCAAATCAGGGAAGGGATGATGGAAGGAGATGAAGCCTTCACTAGTATACAACCACATTCAAATTTGACAAAAACATAATCGCAATGAGACCTGCCAACCAAAGAATTAGGTTTTCAGAGGTTACAATTTGCTTTAATCATTTAGATCAATGCTATCTAGACTAAATTATATAATAGCAAAGATGCAAAAGGCTTAAAATTTAAGGATTAATCGCCATCATTATGTGTTGTCCATGGCCAATGGCCAAGTACGTTTAACAAAATTTCAACAATCATATTTGGATAGCGTTAGGAACCTTCGTGGCTAACTTTCTCGACCATATTTTTAGTTTACAGGACCTCAATCCATGATAAAGACACTTAGCAAAATACTATGAATAGTCCTTTTTATCGTACAACTTGAATATGTACATTTATTTAAGTTTAAAGAGGGAATGATGACAATCGAGCTTTCATCATTGAATAGTCTATGATAATAATAATAATAATAATAATAATAATAATAATAATAATGGTTTAAGTAATTTCTGGTTGATATTGAAGTCAAAGGAAGCTAGATATCATGTCATTCTAAAACACATCTTATTGCAGCGGTGCACATGGATATGTTGACAAGCGCATGAAGCTTGACCTGGAAAGAAGAGAGATAAAGCTTTAGACTTCAGAGCCATTGCACCTTAAATGCGCAAGACAGGGCATGATTTACTAAAAGCAAGGAATTTGTAACTGGGATACTTTGAACATCTGGTTCTGGAGGACCACACCACATGATCACAGCTGTAGTTGTATAGAAAGACATCATCTTTATACACTTACTATTCGACGTTGCATATACTCAATTGAACTACCCCTTGAGGAAGAACTTTTTGTACGTTTTCGTAATCCGACCTAACATGTCGACTCGATGTTATAAATTTACTCAAATTATAACACGTGTAGTGTAGTGAGTCTAGGTTAACCCACACCTAAGCTTAGGGTTGAGTTATTAATAATTAATTCTGGTAGATTTTGTGCTGATATATATATTGTTGGTATTTTGTGTTTGCAGGGGAGAATCATTTTAGAAAGCATGGAAAGTTTGCATAGGGGATGATAAAGATGGGAGCATCGAATGAAAAGGCGCACGAGGGCAGGGCAGAAAGCACAAACTACAAAGAACGAAAGTAAAAAGAAAAATGGAATAAGTGCAGGAGCTCCAATCTTCTGTAAACAAAGTCATAGGGAAATGGCCAAAACTTAAAGGTAGAGGAATTTCTTGATGTAAACAAATCCTATGTAACATGAATCAATTCCTTTTGATCATTGTGATCGATTGAGGCTAAACTTTACAACAGTCCAGAATAATAAAAAGTTGAACTTTAAGGCAGGTTCGCGAGATTTTCAAACCATGCTTAAGCTTAATTATTCATTTGTCTACAATTACTTCCCATATATGAAGCACCATTTTGCATAAGAATGCTTCTATTACCACCTTCAAGTTTCAACATGCTCACATCATTCTTTTCATCTGTCCTGTTAAATTCTAAAGAAAAGAAGAAGAAAAATTAATTACATACCAAATGACGTGACAAATGATATATACAACCAACACATTGACACATCATGTACACAATCCACCACAACAAGTATGGTGCCTTTTGGTTTTTTTGTTCACAAAATCTACTCCCTTGGCAAAGGATTTTGAAGAGAAAAAAAAACCTATATGGCCTCCATCAACTACAACACATGAGGGAAATATTATTTTCTCAAGTTTATTTGTATTATTTGTTTCTTTTGACAGTGTTTAATGAAATATTCTTTTTTGACCCCAACAAAATGGGGAAAGCTTTTAACGTTGGACTCAATAAAAATTCTCGCAAGCCCTTCAAGCCACAATTGCAGATGTAGTAAGTAATTGAAATTAACAAGTGTGAAGAGGCTTTCAAAAATGGAATGTTAACCTAATTTTATTGTTCTTGCGTTTACAACTAATACATATGTAAAACTTAATTATTTATATTTTTGCACTTTGCATTTGTGGAAGCTTATTCGGTTGGTGTCAATAAATTTTGATGGATTCAAATTACAAAGGTAAGATTTTAAGCTAGCTCACCCACTGAAAAATTAATAATTCTGCCATTGAATGTGCATATTATATGAGTATTGTGGTACATAAAATGTGTCTTTGTACTGATTTTAGCTGTCAATGTCCTGTGTAGTTGTGCAAACTAACCAATCTCTCTGTTTTTTCTGTCACCTATGTTAGAACTAGCATTCTTTAATATGCAATCTTAGAGTAAAATTTTTGCACAAATGACCATCATTTTTCTACAATTACAAAGCAAACCTTATCGATGTAGACCCTATTGAGTATGACTTGTCACCTTATTACGAAAACAAAGGAAGTGGATTACAATTCAATTAATTTTTTAAAAATAGTTTAAGGAAGTCTAAACTCTAACCTCTCTTACTTTTTAGATTAGCTAGGTTGGTAAGACTCTTGTCGGTGCAGCCCGTATCACCTAATATATATATAAACAAGAAGATTATGATAACATCAAAGTCTTAAAACAAAACCAGTCCATATCCAAAACCAATAGGACTATTTGATATCATTTGATGGGGCCTCATTCCGGACACTTGGCTCGTTTTGGGGAGAATCCGATGGATGAAGGTTTCGAAGGGTTAGGTGCATAGACTAGAAAACTTGAACTTTTCTCTTTTGAAGTTGAAATCTTTGTCTTTTTTATACCCCTTTTTTGGGCCATTCTTCGTTTCTTTAGGAGAAAGGACAATTTGAACAAACCTTATAACAACAACATTTGGGTGAGCTAGCTTAATGCTTCAATTGTCTTTTACCACTTTCATATCCAAGCTATGTATTTACAAAGAAAGGGGCGATGGTTCTTGCTTTTATCATCATATGATTAAAGACATTTCTCTATCTCTTTTGCTTTTTTCTTTCTACAATTCATTAATTACCCCAAAAATGACTTTTCTTTTTCTTTTTCTTTTCCCAAATGTCAAGCACAAGTTTATAGTTCCATAAACAGAAGAGTAGAGTTGAGCCCAACCATTTTTCCCAACTTATATGTTATTTTCGCATTAAGGGCGTAGCCAAAGTTAGGCTTGAATTGGCTTTGCCCTCCACCTATTTTACAACTCCCTCTAAAGCATCTTCAGGAAAGTCTTCAAATTTTAATCAAATTTTAATTAAAATGGCTAAAAAGCTATTATGAGCCAAAGTTAAGCTAAAAATCCTAACTACGTCTCGCATCCAATTGAGTTATATTCTAGTACTGTCTTTTAATGTGATCATCTGGTGTGGGATAAAAAGTTGGTATGCGTAGAATTTTCCATATGTAAAATATAAACAAATATAAAAAAGAAGAAGAAAAGAAATAAAAACAAATATAATACCGTTATCAAGCATAAGTTAACTAACAGTGGGAGATTTCTCAGCTTCATGCCCAGTAATATCACTGCAATTTTAGAATAATATTTTATGGTTTTTGCATCTTGGTAACTGAGAAGAAGGCACATTATTTTTTCTCCTTCTTTTGTGTTACCGAAGAAAAAAGATAATTATATATACTTGTTTCAAGGTATCTCTGTATTTTTTTATTTTGTTCTTTTGCAAGAAACCAAGTACTGTCGACAGTTGGTAATACCTCGAAACCAAGTGTACGGTTGAAGACTGGAGGTTGGCTGGCCTTAGCTTTGGCCTTTCTGAACAGTAGGCAAGTGGAAGCACAGCACACTGACTGGGAACTGGAGGGTAATTTGGGAAAGCAAAGACAGACACACACAGCAGCAGCAACCAAGCAACCAAAGTCTTCAGCTTGGTTTGGCTTTTGGGTGACTCGGTCAGTGATTGAGCAGTCAAGAACAAGGAAAATGATTTGATAGTAACGTATATTTACACCAAGTATTTCTATAATTGTATTGCTTCTGTTGTTGTTGTAGTTGTTATCTCTGCCTCCTTGCCTTTGCCTTTGCCTTCTGCTAGTCTTCTTTTCAAACCAATCCTAACCCCGCCCTCCCCTTTTTTTCCAACCACAACTCTCTCTCTCTCTCTCTCTCTCTCTCTCTCTCTCTCTCTCTGTGTCTGTTGAAAACCCACTTGTTGTTGCATCATTTTCTTCATCCTAACTCCAACTGATTAGAAAATGAGATCAAGATTCTAACAAATTTTATCTCTTTCTGTATAACCCATCTATTTGCATGCCGTTTTTCTCTCTTTTTTCACTCTTCCCTTTTTCAATTCACTCTCTTTATTTGTGATAGTAATTCAATGGAGGCATCAGAGAATTGCTGTGTCAAGGTAGCCCTTCACATTAGACCGCTTATTGATGATGAACGCCTTCAGGGTTGTAAGGAATGTGTTACTGTCACACCCGGAAAGCCTCAGGTACTCTGCTCTCTGTTTGCAATAAGGAAGTGGGTTTCTTGAGATTGAAATTGTTGGTGTTACTGTATTTGGATATCTGGGTTTTGTTTTTTAAGTTAAAGATTAATGTAAGGTTTAGTTTGTCTTTTTGGTGCATAGTCAAATGAATTGTTGGTGTTTCCAGATTGTACCTCTGTCGAATTAATGGAGTTTTTGTAATTTTGTGTTTCATCTGTTATGTGTCTCTGTTTTTGGAAGTGGGCATAAAGCATGAAGAATTAGAAGCCATTCTCTCCTTTGTTTATGTTACTTATGGTTCATAGGACTTAACTAGTTTGGTTTTTTTACAATCTGAAATTTGGTAACAACCCTATGCGGTGGTGTGTGATATAAATCCAGCTTCTTGGTAAGTGTTAAATCATAGTCTGTTACATTTTTCTTTTCGGATATTTTCTGTTTCTACTGAGTCATCTAGATTTAGGAAAGTTAAGATAGAAGGTGATAAATTTAGGAAAGTTAAGCATTTGGCATAATACCTTTTTTCATATTAGGTGGCTATGTTTGTGTTTGCAATTTTTTCCATTGCTGTCATAGTTGCTGATAGTACGATCTTTGTTGACCATGGTGCAGATAAAAATTGGCCCACATTCTTTTACATTTGATCATGTCTATGGAAGTGGTGGAGCTCCATCACCTGCCATATTTGAAGATTGCATTTCTCCACTTATTCATGGTTTATTCCAAGGATACAATGCTACTGTACTAGCTTACGGTCAGGTAATGTCTGTCCTGTACAAAATGTGCCTTATGTTTGAACAAGACCATGCATCAGGTCTCCTGTTAGTTTAACAGTTGAAATATAAATATGCTGCAGACAGGATCTGGAAAGACATATACCATGGGAACTGGCTCTGGAGATGGCTGCCAGACAGGGCTGATTCCTCAAGTTATGAATGCATTGTTCAACAAGATTGAAATATTGAAGGATCAAACAGAATTCCAAATACAAGTTTCCTATATTGAGGTACATTCCTTATATTGTTCATCTTCCTACTTTTTCATAGATATGTCCTCAGTCATGTGCTTCGAAAAACTTGTAAACCATATGCAATGACCAAAAGGAAAAGGCAAAAAGAAAGAGAAGTGGAAAATGTTATAAGCAGTCTTGATTGCCTGTATTACAGATGATACATCCCAAAATATCTCTAATTTTTTAAAGGCGACTCGAAAAGGGACCTTCTTCTGGAGAGGGGTCCAACTCAAAACAATGATAGTATCAGCAAGTCTTTCTACAATGGCTGGTTATCTATTACTTTTCATAGAACAATCTCTCGCCAATTGTTTTTTCCATAATAACATAATTAATTAGAGGGTTTACATTTTCAGATTCTGAACGAAGAAGTGTGTGACTTGTTGGATTCTCTATCTATGAAAATGGAGACTACAAATGGACATGCCACAAAAGTTGGAAGGCATCCGATACAAATTCGTGAAAAATCAAATGGAGCTATAACACTAGCAGGATTAACTGAAGTTGCTGTAAATTCGTTACAAGAAATGGCCACTTGCCTGGATCAAGGATCATTAAACAGAGCAACGGGGAGTACAAACATGAACAACCAATCTAGGTAAACCTTGAATTTCAAATTTTCTTTGCCATGCAAATTCACTTTTTGCTGACTGATAAGGTCAGTTTCAATGTTTTATTTTTTTGGGTTCTGACCCCCAAACCCTGCAATCTTGTTGGGTAAGGTCTGTTTGTCATAATGGTCGGAAATATTCAATTGTTAAGTATATCCAATGCACTCATTACTTTTCAACTTAGCATGAAAACTCTAAATTTTGTGAAATATCAAGGTTTATAAATAAAATTGGGAGGAACTTGGTTCTTTATAGATATCTTCAGCCTGGGACTTATTGATAGAGTCCTTGAATTCAAATAATTTTGTTTATGGTATTACTGTTTCCGGGATAAAAAAAAATCATTTGCAAGGATGCATTGGTGTAACAATTGAAGTGCTAGAAAATCTTGTTACACTTACAGTTTAAGAGTGAATGCCCATAATTTAATGGCATATGGTTCTAATTTTTATGGTGGTGCCAGTCGATCACATGCCATCTTCACAATCACATTAGAACAGATGCGAAAAATCCATTCAGCTTTTCCCGGGAATGACACTCCAGATGAGGATATGGGTGAAGAGTATTTTTGCGCAAAGCTCCATTTGGTAGATCTTGCTGGATCCGAACGAGCAAAGAGAACAGGTTCCGATGGTCTTCGGTTAAAAGAAGGTTGGTAAACTGTTTCTGAATGTAATCGTAATGTAACTTTCAATCATAAAGTAATGAGACTTGTAAATATTAACTTATGAATAGGTATACATATTAACAAGGGACTTCTTGCACTTGGTAATGTCATCAGTGCATTGGGGGATGAGAAAAAGCGAAAAGAGGGTGTGCACGTCCCTTACCGAGACAGTAAACTGACTCGACTTTTGCAGGTTAGATAAACATGACTGTTCTGCCTGTTATGCCTGAGATATAATTTCATGTAAAATCTTAGCGTTAAATTTCAAATGTACATGCTGATGCTGGCATGGCAATGCGTCAACGTTACTTTTGAAACATCACTTGTCAAACATGAATGATACACTGGGGGATGAAGTTTCTGTATTGGCTTGCTTTATTTTTTCCTGTTCTGATCTGGATTCACTTGTGGATTTTGGCAGGACTCACTTGGTGGAAACAGCAAAACTGTAATGATAGGTAACCCGTATGAGCTTGTTACGATGATGTGTGCTTTGGTCCAGTGCCACTAAGAATATAGTGTGACATTTATTCATACTTCCCTTGCTCAACTATTTCATTGAACTGAGTGTTTTCCAATATGGAAATAATTTTTTATTGGAAGAAATAATCTTGGATCATTTGTGTACTTTTCAACAAGATAGTCTGGAATTTTTCTCCTCTTTGATTGAAGATGGATGCCTTTCAGCTTGCATCAGTCCTGCTGATATCAATGCCGAGGAAAGTCTTAACACTCTGAAATATGCAAATCGTGCTCGTAATATCCAGAACAAGCCTATTGTAAGTTTGTCAGATGACTTTCTTATGACTAGGTTTGCTAAAATTCCCTTTACACACTGTGTTAGTTGATGAGTACAGTGTTTCATATTCAATGAATTTGGACCAACATGAAACATTCTTGTTTTTGGGTACAGGTTAATAGAGATGTGATATCCAATGAGATGCAAAAGATGCAAGAGCAGCTAAAATTATTGCAGGCAGAGCTTTGCGCTCGTGGTGGAGCTCCATCAGATGAAGTGCTGGTATTTTGCATAAAATAGATTTTTCATTGATTTAAATTAATTTATGCATCTTTTTATGGACACAAAAAGAAATTGGTTGCATAGGTTCTTAAGGAAAGGATTGCTTGGCTTGAGGCTACCAATGAGAATCTTTGTCGAGAACTTCATGGATACCGCAGCAAATGCGCTGTTGTGCATCAGTGTGAAACAGATGTGCAAGTATGTCAACGGAATTTTACAGTTTATGTCTTTCATAAGTGATATTTAGCTGGTTGAGAATTTAAAAATCTCATGTCGGTAGTTAAGCCTTATATCTTAATATATAAAATCTTGAGCTTATACAATCATTGTTAACGGGGTTTTGGGTTGGATGCTCCAACTATAACATGGTATTAGAGTGGGCAATTCATCCACATGTTGGCCCAATTTACCACACATGCTTTCACATCACATTGTCACCCAATGTAATTGATACATGTGTTTGGCACAATCCAGCCACACGTAAGGGGCTGTCGGGAATTTAAAAATTCCACAAGGAGCATTCTAAGGCTCAAGCTTAAATCTCAGTATATTAAGTCTTGAGCTTCTTCTACCCATTGCTAATTGGTTTTGTGTTTGATTTTCCAACTTCAACATATCTTTTACTTATTTGATTGAAAAAAGTTTTCCTAGATGTCACTAACTAGGTATATTAAGGTTGTAGTTTGACATCATATTCAAATTTATATAACAATTTACGATTTAATTGCTGGATGATCTTCATGTTGATATTTTTCCACTTCTCAGGAAGGCCCTGTTTGTTTCCCAAAAAGTGATGGGCTTAAGAGGGGCTTCCAGAGTATGGACTCATCTGATTATCAGATGGGAGAAATTACATCAGGTAAACACTCATTCCGTTCATAATTTTGACCAATTTAGAAGAATGATGTTTTTTCTTTTAATTTTCTTTAAATAAGAAAATTAAGAATAATGTTGTTAACAGGCCAATTTTGGTTGGGCTTGATTTATGAAATGCTTATTCTGATACATAAATCATCTTTTTACTTGGTAGTTTGGCCTTCACTTTTTTGGAATAAAATTGCCAAATTTTGCAGGCGAAAATTCTAAGGAAATCGATGAAGTAAAAAAAGAGTGGGAGCATCAACTTTTGCAGAACACTATGGATATAGAGTTGAATGAGTTGAACAAACGCTTGGAGCAAAAAGAGGTTTTACTTTCATCTATGTTTCCATATGCAAGTTATCCATGGGATGGGATTGAACTTGAAGAAAAATACTTATAATCGAACTAATATATGTACTATGTTTATAAGTTCTTTAAATAATTTCATATCATACATGCATAACTGATCTAATGGTTGAAAAATATGAGTAAATATGGTTATGTTCTGTATATAATATATATATATTTTTTATTTTTTATTTTTTTGGGGGTGAAATTTCTGTATAGTATTTCATTATAACATTCTGGGTTCCTAATTTTTCAATTCCGCAGTCTGCAGATAGTCCTACTTTGTTATGATTGTAATCTTTCTAATATTTTATATATCAGAAAAATGAATACATGGCTCAGGAATGCTAAAAAAAGAACAGATTTTTTTTTGGGGATGCAATGTCAATCTGGACTGTTCTTAGACTTTTGCTTCTGTAAGTTTTTTTTTAAAATTATTAATAACTGTATAGTGAATATGTACAAGTATAATCTTGATTCTTGAGTAGACTTGCCTGACAATCTCCAAGCAAATTTAATTTGGTGTGACGTGAAGTCATTTTCACTTTCAGTACCTTAATTATTTCTGAATTAACTGAGCTGGCAGTCAGTGTCTCAATCAACCTTCATTAATCCTTTTGGCATGTTTTTATTTATATAATGGAATGGAATGATAACCGTAACGCTACCCCAAAGTCATGGCTTCCACTTTTTGGCAGTCTGAAATGAGACTTTTTGGAGGGATTGACACTGAAGCACTGAAGCAGCACTTTGGAAAGAAAGTTTTGGAACTCGAAGAAGAGAAAAGAATTGTGCAGGTCCAATAGAACATGTTTGACTCTTTTTATGTTGCTAAAATATATTTGAATTTTGATTGTTTAATATTCCCTTATTTTATGGCTGATATTCGTAACAATCACAGCAAGAGAGGGACCGCTTATTGGCTGAAGTTGAGAGCCTTGCTACTAACTCTGACATACAAGGACAAAAAATGCAAGATGTGCATGCGCAAAAATTAAAGTTTCTCGAAACACAGGTGATGCTGTGAAATATTTAGATGCCATTCTGCCGCCTATATTTGTGCTGATGGTTGAATTCAATTATGAACCACAGATTTTAGATCTTAAGAAGAAACAAGAAAACCAGGTCCACCTTTTAAAGGCAAAACAAAAAAGTGAGGAAGCAGCAAAGCGGCTGCAAGCTGAAATACAATATATCAAAGCTCAGAAGGTTGGTTCTCTTTTCTCCGTATTTCAGACAGTTCTGTAAACAATGATGTCAATTGTATAATTTTTTTTGTAACTTTTGGGTCTTTGTTACCTGGTTGTTCTTCATATGCAGGTTCAGTTGCAGCATAAAATAAAGCAAGAGGCAGAACAATTTCGACAATGGAAGGCTTCTCGTGAAAAGGAATTGCTACAGGTGCTTTACCTTCCGTAAAAATATGTAATCTGGTCATCTTTAATACCTCCAAATTCATGGCTGGTGGGTTTTTAGTAAAGATTTTGTTATTTCCTTGATATATATATATATATATATATATATATGTTACAATTGGATATTGGAGCATTTAAGCAACTGGATATCTTTACTTTTTCAGGAGGGGTTAAGAGCTGTAATGTTTGTTGCATGCACTGGAAATTCAGAAATTTATGTTATGACATTCCCGTTAAATAAAGACTTATCATCATGTTTGAGAGAACTGAAACAGAATATGAAGACATTTCAATAATTACAAACTTAACCTACTGTTATAAATCTGTGTCTTGAAGCCAATAATTTTTTTTCTTAAATATGAAGTGCAACAATGCTTTCTTTTGGTATCATGTTGTTGTATTACCTTACTCCGTGGACGGTTTGGTCTAATGGGCTTCACCTATCATTTTGTATCGTATTACACATTTTTTAATGTCTCAAAGTGCTCTTGATATTTTGGAATTGGTTGCCAAAAGTAGGCCCTGTAATCTTTTTGGGGTTTCCTTGTAAAGGCCATTTTGTTTTAGTCGTGCTAATTCTTGTTATGTCATTGCTTTCTATTCTTGTATTATTTAGTGCTGGTTTTGAAGTTTGATTATGATTTTATCACAAGCAGCTAAGGAAGGAAGGGAGGAGAAATGAGTATGAACGGCACAAGCTTGAAGCTCTGAATCAGCGCCAGAAAACGGTAAATATTTATATTTGGAAATGCATGCTGACAGTTAACCTTCCCTTCTCTCATTTCGACCCCCAAAAATAAAATAAAAATTCCCTTCTCTCTGTCATCGATGTCTGCTTCACCATGAGTGCTAAATTGGTAAACTTTAAAAATGTTTTAAACAAGATATATGCTATGTTGGGAGTACAGGGTAAATTACTTTTTCTCATTGATATTAAAAATTTATTGAATATTGCCAATCATTTTAATCGATCTTGCAGGTTCTTCAAAGAAAGACAGAAGTGGCAGCAACTGCTACCAAGCGGCTTAAGGAGTTGTTAGAAGCTCGCAAATCTGCTGTACGTGACAACTCAGGTAATTCTTTTTTTTTATTCTTTTGGAAGTATTCTTTTGTTACATAATCTCATTTCCTAATTTAGTGTTGTCTCCATCAGTTAACCCCAACAGGCATACTTCAGCTAGCCAGGTAAAGATCTGTACTTTTCATCTTAGTGCAATTTTTAAATTTAATGTTGGGAACATCCGTATGTCAAATCCAGCAACATTTTTATAGGTTGGACAGCTTAGGCTCACAATGACTCATCCCTTTTCATATCTGGAAAGAAATTAATGTATAGCCAAAAGTATGCTTATTATTATTAGCATGGCTTGTTGGTTTGTATTTACTCTAATCGATCGTTAAGCTTGTGGTTCTTTTAAACCCAGCCTAGAAAACCCTAAAGGAGATTTGTTTATTGACCTATTATCTCTGCTATAATTTTATATCAAACAATTTCAATATGAGTTGCATCTCCAGAGCAATGAAAGATCTTTACAACGGTGGCTTGATCATGAGCTCGAAGTCATGGTGCATATGTATGAAGTTCGTTTCGAATATGAGAAGCAAAAGCAAGTGTATGTACTTTTATTTTTCTGATACTTTATGTATATTGCAATGAATATGTTTAGACTGCGATTAATGAGAAAGTATTGTAGGCGAGCCGCACTGGAAAAAGAGTTGGCCTTACTTAAACAAGCAGATCAGCTTTCTTCTGAAGGGCAGAGTACCCAAAGAGGAAAGAGTGGATATTCCAGGTATGTCTGCTAAATTTTTTGATGTATGTATGCATAAATGTGCAGATTTAAACAGACAATGACTACACATGCAAGTTGATATGCAATGCAATACAATTGTCGTGTTTTGTTAGTATGATACTATCTCCATTTTGACATTTTTGTATTTTCAACCAATCAGAGTGTTATCCATGTCACTGGATGCAAGAATGGCAAGAATAGCTTCACTTGAGAACATGCTTGGCATGTCTTCAAACGTTCTCGTGGTGATGGCTTCACAACTGTCAGAGGCAGAAGAAAGGGAGCGGAGCTTAAGTGGTCGTGGGCGTTGGAATCAGTTGCGTTCAATGGGTGATGCTAAGAACTTGCTTCAATATATATTTAATGCTGCTGCAGAAGCAAGGTGCTTATACAACCTACATAGAATCTGATGGAAGCTTTATTGCATTCTTGAGGATTACTTTATTTCAACTATCGATACACATTCTTTGATGCTCAGTGAACTGTTTAAGATTTTTTTAGAATAGTATATGATGTTTGGTCACATATTTTGAGGTATAGTTTTTGTCTGAGTAAATATTACCTCTTCGCAACAGCAAATAAGAAAATTAACAATGAATAGTCCATAAGTTGTGATTACAATGTGTGAAGTTTATAACTTGTTCCTGTTTCAACAGGTGCCAGTTGTGGGAGAAGAATATGGAAATTAAGGACATGCAAGATCAACTGAATGAGCTTGTAACTCTACTGCGAAAAAGTGAAGCACAGAGAAAAGAGCTCGTGAAGGAACAAAAAGTGACAGAACAAGCTGTTGCTGTTGCCTCAAGTACATCCGCTTTGGTGAGACCACCTGCTAAACATGTCATGGTTTTCAACATTTCTTGCGTTATAACTTCTTCTCATCCTTAGCTTGGGAAATTTACTTGGAAACCCTTGTTTATAAGATCAATATGCTTATCTACCATGATTTAAATGGTTATTTTAAGGCCTAACATCCTAATATATGATAAAGCATTATTTAGTAAGCTCATATTTTACTCCACATTTTCTGTCTCAAATTTATACCTCTCTGTCAATTTTTGACTTGTTCTTACTACTACTTAAATGGGATGGGACTCAACAGGGGAATTCACGCACTTCATTAAAGCACTGTGTCGATGATATGAGTGGTCGTTTATCTCCAAGGTCGCTTCCGGCACCAAAGCAGCTCAAATTCACACCTGGAATAGTTAGTGGGTCTATTCAAGAGTCGGCAACATTTCTTAACCAGACACGAAAGGTGATTCATTTGCTTTCAGGCTATCTTTAGTGTTGTAATTCTCCTCCTTGCTTAAGAAAATAGTCATCATTGCATCATGGTGAGTGCAGATGGTACCAATTGGGCAATTGTCTATGAAGAAACTAGTAACTGTGGGTCAAGGAGGGAAACTTTGGAGGTGGAAGAGAAGCCATCATCAGTGGCTGCTACAGTTTAAATGGAAGTGGCAGAAGCCTTGGAGACTCTCAGAATGGATCAAGCACAGTGATGAGACAATAATTAGATCGAGGCCTCGCCCACAAGCTCAGATAGATATTATGTGATAACTTCATTTTCATCAGCTTCCTTTCATGTTGTACTTGTACATACATCTTGACTGCCATATATGATCCAACATATGGCTTGGTGAAAACAACTGTAACTGCCGGTAATCTTTCTCCTCCTGTTATAAAATAGAAGCACAAAAGGCTTCGTTCTTGAAATAATGAAACTGCGTTCTTTGTTGCCCGCATGCAGGATGCAGGGGTGTTGTAAATTGGCAGGAGGATGGTAGGTTCGACTAACCAACTTGTCATGCAAGCAGTCTCATGAAACTTGCATAAGACGGCCAAATTGGAGTGCTGTTGCATCTGGTGGAAGAAGACACGGTCATGCAAGAAATAGGTGGTTTATGATGCTAACATCTGGTGTTGATTTGTTTTCCTTTTTCCTTTTCTGTACATCGTCCATTAGATACATAGGCACACCACTTAGTTTGTCAGAATTTGGCTTTGGCATGTGATATTTTGTTTTTGTACTTATGTTCTCTTTTATTATGTGACAGTTTTACTCAGACAAATTTTTTAAGTCAAATGAACATAGACTTCATACACTTTTTTACTTAAAATTCCAATTGGCTGATAATAAAATTCAACATGAAAGTTAAAGCACCGTTGCCCTAGAAATCAGAGCTCATAATTTAGCCATAGCAATTCGGTCTTGCAAAAGATATGGACGATTTTTTATTATGAATAAATGGATCTATGGATGTTTATCAAAATACAGCAACCTTTCTGAACCCATACCCCATTCAACACACACAGAAAAAATAAAAGGATCAATCTGTCATCTTATCACTACATCCCAGCTACCTTTCATTCAATAGGGATAGGTTTTCCACCTTAGCAAACAACAAACTCATGCAGACCAGGATTACGTCACTTGGTCAAGACAATGTACCCACTCCTTGCACTCGAGTTTGGTCAGGACAATATACCCACTCCTTAACACTCTAAGTTTGATTCCTCTTCCCTAGTCGCTTAGGACATTGTCGCTTGTATAAAAGACAACAGAAAACTCATTATTAAAGCTGCAGCAGAAAATTGGGTGACTCCGAAACTATAGGGCCCACATTGTATCAACGGCTAGACAAAAATTGCCCACTCCAGAGTGAGCAATTGCCCTTTCATTGCATAGGTCCCCAACAACAACCACCCGCACTCCCGTCTGTGCTGGCCCTAACATTACCAAAATCACCAACCACCAGCGTATTCCTGCCAAAGCCCTTATGTCTTTATTGGCATTTTCAGACACTACCTTGCACCAAAAGCCACATTAACTCCCCCAAAATTGTACAGTTCGTATGGTGAGAACTGTTGTAAATACCAAACCCTCGAATCATAAGCATTTATAAAATCATTATACATCTGCCATTTAACAGATTACATTGGCTGGTCGTGTGCCTGCAATTACAAAAATGCCTTCAAGTGTCGCCTATAAATGAGTCGTTCAACCTTAGCCCCATAAATTTACCATTAGAACTTTTTCTCAGGAAACCCTCTGAGAGATACGCGTATTGACACTAGCTCCTGCCTTCATTTCCTTCTTTGAATCCAATATTTGTAAAATTCAGACTCTACTGCTTTGAAAATCCAACACCTGCATTATCCTCTGTCATCGCACTCTCTTTAATCTCCTGTATCATCTTCAGCACTTGCCACATTGCCGGCCTCTGTTCCGGAGATGTCAAACTACATATACAAGCAACCTCAGCAAGCATTCCAAGTTGATTATCGTCCCCAACATCATCGTCCCTCATTGCTCTGACCCATTCGGGCACGTCCGTGGGCACGAGAAGCGGATGTTGGGACGGATGTTTACCCGTCAAAAGTTCAAGCAAGAGAATGCCAAAGGCATAGACATCGGATTTAGAAGTGGCTCGACGGCTGGACTTGCGTATCTCAGGGGCTTTATAGCCTGCAGAGTCGGGATCTTCATTTGCAGAAGTGTCTGCAAAGAAGGAAAGGCCGTAGTCCGTGAGACAGGCCTCGAAGTCGCCTCCAAGAAGAACATTGGAGGACTTGAGATTGCCATGGATTAAGGTTGATGATTGGTGAATGTAAGCAAGGCCTTGAGCAACATCTTCCGCTATCTTCAAGCATGATGTCCAATGAAGAGGCTTTGCTCTAGTTGATTTAGAACCTGTTCGTACATAATTGCAATTTGTTAGCAACAGCTTATAAACAAATGGCTTGAAGTGCAAAGAATCAACTACTAGCTTGTTTTCTTTTATTCCTCCTACTTTTCACTAACAGGGAAAATCTCTACGAACCACTTCCTAATTGGTTACGAGGTTGTGATAAATCACCTCCTAGGTAAACTCGAAAGTGTTTGCGTATGTAAATTCAAAACTAAAACGTCTGAATTTACCGTCTCATGCTCATGAAATAATACAAGTGTAATATGATCCATACAAGTGTTTGAATGATGTCATGATAAAAAATCATATGATATGGGGTCAAACTTTGAACCATGAGCACCAAGGGGCCAACCCGTGATTGTCGGTATTAAGACAGAAGTGATATATGACTGAAAAGCAAAACCCAGTAAAACCACACAGACATTTTAACAAACAGAAAGCATGCAATAGTTTCAGCGTTTTTACCACACTTACCGTGAATGAGATTGAAGAGACTGCCATTGGGTTGGTAATCATAGATCACCAGCCGCTCTCCCTTGGCCTGAAAATAAGCTCTCACCGGAACCAAATACGGATGCCTCAATCCACCCAGCGCATCCATATGTTCATCAAACGCTTCTCTGCTCGTAATCGCAGTCTTACCCGCATCCAATCTCTTCACCGTCACAATCAGCTGGTTATCCAGCACCGCCTTGTACGTAGTTCCAATCGTACCCCTCCCAAGCAACTCCGCCGAGGCTCTCATCAGCTGCTCCAAACTGTACAGCTGGGCCTCCCCATAACAAAACACCAAGTTCCCACTTCTCGGAATCGCTCTCGGTTGAGCTTGTTCAAATTCATCAACTGTTTTCACCTTACTGGGATACTGCATCCCCCTCTGTTCTGTCACTTGGGTTTCGTTTCTAAAAGCGTTCGGATTTGGATTCGTGTGAATGTGATCAATACCTTCATTGATGGAGGTTGGTTTCGTGGCTCCATGAGTGATAGTCTTTGTTCGGTTTCTGGCCACTGTAAAGAGGCATAAGAGACCGGCAATGAGGAGCGCAACCCCAATCGCGAGCCCGAGAATGAGACCAGTTTTCGTGTGATTTTTGGGGGAAGGTTTAGACAGAACCACTCCTTGCGACTGCGCACTCTCCACTAACGGCTCCGATGCCGGAGAGGTAGCACTCGCATTGCGAGATTCGAAGAAGGGGGCACGTGCGCTGCACGCCCTGTTCACAATCTCGCCGCAGAGGCCCGGGTTCAGCTGGAACGCCGACGCGTCGAACCGGGACAGAGTCGGCGGGACCGGCCCGGTCAAGTCGTTCCCCGAAACGTTGAAGACGAAAAGGAAAGACTGGTTCAAAGCGGGGAGGGTGCCGTTGAACCGGTTAGACTGGAGTTGGAGGGAGGTGAGCCGGTCCAGAGCGGACAGCCTCACCGGAATGGGACCGGAGAAGTTGTTGAAGGAAAGATCGAGAACGGAGAGGCGGTGGAGGGAGAGAATGGAAGGCGGCAAGGCGCCGGAGAAGTCGTTGCGGTTCAAGAAGAGGGACTTGAGGTTCTGGAGAGGGGAGAGGTCGGGGATTGGGCCGGAGAGCGAGTTGTTGTGGAGACTCAGGACTCGGAGCTGGTCGAGGCGAGTGAGAGTGTCGGGCGGAAACTCGCCGCGGAGAGAGTATGATTGCAGAACGAAACGGACGACGCGGCCCTGAGCGCACTTGACGCCCTGCCATTGGCAGTAGTCGAAACGCTCGTTTAGGGTGTAGAGGAGCTTGTTGTTGAGGTCGGCTCCGGACTTGAAGGAGAGGAGGGCGACGGCGTCGGAGGAGGGGAGGAGGAGGTTGGGCGGCGGCGGCGAGGGAGGAGAAATGGAGGGCTGAGATTGGACGGTGGTGATGAGGAGGAGGAGGGGGAGGAGTGGAAACATAATGGGTTTATGGAGTGAGGGGAGGGGGTTCACGTTCATGGTGGGTTTGTGTAGTAGGGAGTTTGAAAGTGGGAAGCAGCTGGGTGGGTGTGTCGAGTAGCGTTGGTGGAGTCTGTGTAGGGGTCACGTGAAGGTGGGGGATAGGGGAAGGGAGTGGGAAAAATTGTTGGTGTTGGTTTCTGTAGGGAACTATTTTCTAGGCCTCAGATTTCTCGAGCTTTGATTCTATTTGGCGCGTCAACTTACGTGTTTTTCGTTACTGTGAAAAGGTTTAAAACTAGGAGACTGATTTTCTCACTCTCTTTTTATTTACTTACACTCTATATTTTTTAAACAAAAAGGAGTGTAGATGAATAAAAATAGAGTGGAAAAATCATTTACCTAAAACTAAGCTACGCAATGAGTAATCATTTGTTTGTTAAGTGAGTGTTATTGTAGCTTCGTCACGTAGCATTAGCATGATGATGTTGTACTATTAGGTTACTTCAATTCTAATTTGTGTATACTTATTAATATTTAGAAATATGTTAGTATAAGTTGTTGTGAGTCATTCTTAATGGGGTCTAACTCAATGGAAAATGACATTAGCTTGCATACTAGTAGTAGTCTCAGGTTCGAACCCTATAGCACCGTGGTATTGTGCATGCAAAAAACTTTATTTTCCTTATAGTTTAGACTATCGTTTGTAGTTTTGAAATGATGAATTTTAAACCCAATACACTCATTATAATTTGTGTCTACTTTTAACATTAGCATTCAAGTCACACCAATAGATCTGCCCAATTACTGGGCTAAGACTCATAGGAAATGTGAGGGGGAAAAGTAAGTAAGGTGGATGAAAAGTCGTTAAAATGCCACACACAGGTTGAACAAGCAAGTATCCTCCCTTTAAAAAATAAAAATAAAATCTTGAATTCATCACTGACTCACGTTAAACACAATAATTTCTCTCTCTTCGTGGTTAAAAAAGTTAAAACTTGGTAAGCAATGGGCAATCATTTGTTTGGTGGTAGATATTTAGATAAACCTTAATCATCATTAGCTGATTCGTTGCTTTCCATTCCACCATGCCAAATTTGTACATTATTATCGTAACCTCATAGGCACAGCGACGGAGATTACAACGCACGCGATGTATGGTGAGTACCTTCCGTTGTGTAGAGATCACTCTTTGATGCTTGGAGGTCCTCGTATAATAATAATATATAGTTGGACTGGACTGGACTGGAGAATACTATTTGACCTTAGATTCTTATTAATGCTGTCAATAAGTCAGACTATCCATCCTGGCATTTTTAATGTTTTGTGGCTTTTTTATTTTGTTGCTCAGCATTTGCATGTTCTTTTGGTATATTTTTGGTGTTGGCCAAATTGTTTCACAATTCTCATTTGGACAGAAATGCTAACCTTGGTTGTTCACGGAGAAATGCTAACGTTAATCATTTATTATATTATGTTATGGAGTTCAAAATATGTTAAGATTAGGACTTGCTAGCAAGCGAGTGAACGACTGACTCAAGCACAACTCTATAAGTATAATCAACTCATCCAAACACAACTCTAAGCAATAAAGAGTACCCTCTTTGTGTCGGGGCAACAAAAGTCATTGCCTCTTGGCTTAATTCTTGTGGGGAAAGTTTGAAGTCAAAAATCCCTTGTGTTGTGGGGACACAATGGTTCTTGATCATTGCAGCTAAGATAAGCAAGCATCTTCTTTTCGTGCTTCTTTTTTCGGAAAGGGTCATTCATCTGCCTCATCTTTCTCATATGATCTCACGGGCTCGAAGTATGTGTCATCCTTGTCAAAAGAAAGGGTTGTTGTGCTTTCTTTTTCCTTTGCGCCATTTCAAACACAACAAAGCTAATGATTTTTTCTTCTTTTCAAACATGCAACAAATAATTTCATAGCTAATCGAGCCACAAATTTATACTCTACACACATAGCATCTTGGGGGCGGAGCTACACTATGGCTAGGGTGGGCTCTAGCTTAGTGCAAAGTTTGGGAAAATGAAATTTACATTTAATTTGTAGGCACTACACCTCATTTTACAAAAATTAGCCTAGTCCATCCAAGCAAAAATCACTCTATTTGATCCAAATAGATCTCAAGTTAGCTTAAATTTTTATCCTTTTAGAAAAGGGTATACTAGTGATTTGCCCCCTGAACTTGTATTTAAGTTTCAATTGACCCTCTATCCTATTTTTTAAGAAAATTAAGGACACGAACTTTTTTTTTGCCAATGTGCCCTTGACATCAAAATCTGGCACTTCCCATCCATTCTGCCGTCAAGATGGAGGTTACTTTTGTCATTTCGCGTGAATTCCACCTCTGTGACCCATGACCTCTACCCTAGATCATCTCGTAAGGACCTTCTCATCTCGTAATATTGGGTTTTCTCCTAAACCCTAGATCCCCCTTTATTAGGGTACAAAAATGGAGGGAAATTGATTTGTGAAAACAACGAGCCAAAAAGAAGGAAGTGATAGCTGAAGCATGGGTTGAGTTGAGTGGAGACGTGAAATGACAAAAGTAGCCTCCAACTTGACTGCAAAATGGATAGGAAGTGCCATATTTTGACATCGGGGGGCACATTGGTGAAAAAAAGAAGAAGTTCAAATCCTTAATTTTCTTAATATAAAAAAAAAGAATATGGGTTAATCGAAAGTTTGGTATAAGTTCATGAGGCAAATTCCCAGTATACCCTTTACAAAATGAATAGAATTTTATTTAGATTCTTACCTATATAAGAGATTATAGCCCACTCCTATAAAAATTTATGATTTCACCCTTTGCTTAAGTCAGACTACAGGATCATCGATCTACTCTACCTCAATTCACCATTTCGAACCTCACCCACTCTTTCATTCAGGGTGGTTAGAAGCAGGGAAGGATCTTCCGCCTTTAAGGTCATAGCACCAGCACCTGGGAATAATACTACGTTCATAGGGAGGTCGTTAATAAAGTAGCAAGTAAAAGTGGTCCAATCCGCATAACAACAATTTTCATCATGGTAGTCTGTGGCTCAATCCACAACAAATACTCTGTTATGGTTAGAATAGATCCACTCTGTTACTATTGCATTATAACCATGGATCACCTTCTGCATAGAAGAAGATTTGGGCAAGAGAGAAGTTCATCTTTCTTAGCAATGGCAGTAAAGTATTGTTAGGGGGAGGGGGCAGCTAGGGATAATGAATCCTGGACTTGGTTCCTTCAACAATTTCTAAGGTGGGGTGGGGAGATAGGAGGAGGATAGGAATTGGAGTTGGTTTCTGAAAGGCAAAGGGTATCTCTAAAGTTAACTTTTGTTATATAGTGTAATGCCCATACTGGTGTGTTTTGTGTCATGTTCCACCTACTTCAAGGCTTGAAGCAAACATTTTATTGCTGATGCTACAAGCTTAGCACACAATATTATGAGGCACTTGGATTGAACTGGTAGGAAAAGTTCAAGGGAAAAGAGCTGAAAATGCGTATACATATACTAAGAACAAGGAATTAATTTAATACTAGAAATTCAGTCTAATAATTTCAATATATTTTTGTCTAACAATCATTGCCAAATATATTGTTTCCTTTGACAGAGGAAGACAAGCCACCAATATTTAGTACAATACTAAATAAATACACAAAAACCTTGGGTAATTTGTATCTTTGTTTGTCGGGGGCTACCTGTTTATGTTGTCATCTTCATAATGAGTTCCAAAGTCTCACTCATGTATTTGGTAAACACAAACAAACCCAACTGCACAAAGACAGGAACACTAAATATTCTAATAAAACATGTTTATTCAACGGGGGAATGGATCAGACAATCTGAATCAGGTAAGTTGTCATCTTCAAAGGCAGCTACTTACTTGAGGAATTGCATATTTAAAGAGGTTACTTGAGATGTGAAGCTCAATTGAACAAGGTAAAGCGACTTGAGGCTTGTAATTAGTTATGGGGTCACTAGTACTACAACAAAAAACACCCATACCCATAACCCATCTACCTTCTCTCTCACCAACTACCCCCATTGTTTTCTCCTCCCACTTCACAAGCACTAAAATACATATATACACATACATACTGGACAGAACATAAACAAATAAAAGATTGCATGGGAACAAACCACCAACTAAAGAGCAGTTATAACTAATAACAATAAACAATAAACAATTCATTCTCAATTTTTTAAAAATAATTTGATTTCTAGAATGCTTAGAGGGTGATTGTAAGGTCACCTTCAGTTTCTTCATCCCACATTGCTTCAGTTTTCTGCTTGCTTATTCAACACAATCTTTAAATCATACCCTCTCCAATATTCTCAAAACAGAAAACAGAGAAACAGAGATATAGAAGAGAGAGAGAGACTCACCTTCCATTGTAACACAAGCCACACTCTGATCAAAGTGTCTCTCTCTTTCTCTGTTTTGATCTCTCAAACCAGTTGAGATGAAGAACACCAGCAACACAAAGCTGATCCTTCTCCACCCCTACATCCAGAAACAAGGAACCTCCAACCGCCTCTGGCTTCTAGCCTTCATGTCCATCTTCACACTCGCCTTCCTTCTCACAATCATTTACACAAGCGGCTTGTACGCATACTCATCAACCACAACAACCACCATCTCCGCTGCCACAATAACCACCACAACAACCGCTTCCACCGCCGTCCCCCAGCTCCCCACCACCGTCATCAACACCCTCCTCTACTACGCCGCCAAATCCAACGACACATTCAAAATGTCGTACGCCGACATCAAGCCCATCTCGGACGCCCTCCGGAAATGCTCAACCCCTTGCAACTTCCTCATCTTCGGCCTCACCCACGAGACCCTCCTCTGGAAGGCCCTCAACAACAACGGCCGCACCGTCTTCATCGATGAAAACCGCTACTTCGCCGCCTACATGGAGGAGAAGCACCCGGAAATCGACGCGTACGACGTGCAGTACACAACAAAATCGAAAGAGCTCAAGGAGCTGGTGGCGGTGGCAAAAGAGCAAATACGGAACGAGTGCAGGCCGGTGCAGAACCTGCTGTTCTCGGAGTGCAAGCTCGGGATCAACGACCTGCCGAACCACGTGTACGAGGTTGATTGGGACATCATCCTGGTGGACGGGCCACGTGGCGACTGGCCGGACGCGCCAGGGCGGGTGATGCCGATATTCACGTCGGGGGTGCTGGCGAGGAGCAAAAAGGGCGGGAACGGGAAGACGCACGTGTTCGTGCATGATTTTGGCGGGGAGGTGCAGAGGGTTTGCGGGGAGGAGTTTTTGTGCAGGGAGAATTTGGTGGAGGCGAGTGAGACGCTGGGGCATTATGTGGTCGAGAGGATGGAGGAGAGTAGCTTCCAGTTCTGTCGCAGCCGTCCATCGTCAAATTCTTCATTATCAGCAGCATCTTAGTGGTGGTTGTGGGTGGTGTTTGGAATTCATAGTAATAATCGTTTAACGTCATCATGGTGAAAGATTCATCACAGTGTTATTGGGATATGGCATGAAGGAGGTAAACCTGGGTTGGGTTTGGGTGTATATTTATGATTTTTGCTCTCCTTTTTAGATTCTTTTGTCTTTTTTCTTTTTCTTTTCTGTGGGTGGGGCATGTGAAAATAATTCTTCTTTTTTTTTTGGCAAGTGCAAAATGTAATTTTTGCACTAAAATCAAAATATAAGTTTCAGTTACAAGCATTTTTCCTTTTTCTTCGTTTCCTATTTTAATTTGTGGGTTAAGTCAGTAAATCTTCCCCCTTACATCTAAAAAAGGCCATTCAATTCGTTACAGCTTCCGACCAAAAAACAAAAAATAAGAACATGCCATTTCCAGTCCATTTCAGATTTCCCAAGGGGTCGCCTTTGGACAAGTGTTTTATAGTGAGGGTCTTAACCCTTAGATGAGATCCTATCTTTTAATTATTATATCAAATTGGTTAGTCGTTGAATCAAATTGGTTAGTTTGATTTAACAGTTAAGAGATAAGACCTCATCTAAGGGCCTTAGATCCTCACTATAGAATGACTCCATTTTTGGACTCGATCAAAAAAATTGGGCTTGCGTTGGCCTTGAGCCTGGCCCATTTAAGCTTGTAGACAATTGACATATAGGGCATACGCATCTTGGGACAAAGGAGACCAATTGACCCGTAAAAGTTTATACACAAACTTCGAAAAGCTAATTGTTGACGAATATAAGTCTCACATCGAAAACTTGAATAAATAAAATATAATATATAATGAACGGTTCCACTACTAATATTACCGAGGCCTTTTGTGATAAAACCCTACATGTACTAGGCTTTGTAGATGGTTAAGTTAGGGACAATATCATTGTTTCTAATAGTGGGCCGCTGACCCGTCTCTCTGAAATTTTACATGGTATTAGAACGAGTTGATTGATTGGGCCTGAATTGGACTTTTATCCTTACCCAATATGTGGTGTTCAAATATTGGGCTTGAATGTTTACCTTTACTCAATGATTAACTTAAATATGGGCTTGACTTCACTTGTGGCCCATTATGCGGTGGTTTCACGTGAGGAGACATGTTGAAGAATATAAGTGAACAATTCTACTATTGATATTACCAAGACTTTTTGTGATAAAACTCCGCACCTACTAGACTTTGTAAGTGGTTAAATTGGGAACAATATCAATTTTACAAGCTGAAGCAATGGTCTTAAAGCAAGCTTTAATTTGGGCTAGCCGCATGAAATTTTCAAAGGTGAAAATAGAAAGAGATTCTAAAATACTTATACAAATAATTACAAACAAAACTCAAGTACCTTGGAGTATCCAATCAATTGCATGAGACATATGGAAGCTTTTGGACAAGTTATCTAAAGTAAAATTTCCCACATTTTCCGAGTGGCAAACATGGCTGCGGATCAGCTAGCAAATGGGCACAGTTGTAATCATTCATGGTTCGGTAATTTTCCTATTGATGTTGTTACTATAGTTTATTTTAATTTGTATGATCTTAAAGATTCCGCAGGATCTTTCTGTTTTCGATTAAAAAAAGGCCATGGCAAATGACGATAAAACCCGCGGCAAACAAGACAAACTACAACACATCATCCACACACACCCACATGTCTATTAATCAATTAGCCCGACATTATAATTCGTGATTCGCTTTTGAATATACAGAGGTGTATTCTTGTTCGAGTTCTGGAACTGAGAGAGAGAGAGAGAGAGAGAGAGAGAAGTTTCTTCACCACCATGGCAACAGACTTCAAGTCCATACCCATAATCGGTAAAACCTACTCATCCACCTAGCTCACTTTCACCTCACATGCTACCCAAAAGCCAAAGATACCATTTTTTATTGATTTGATTGTGTCTTGCGTTTTCTGCACTTTGGTATCTTAATTCAGATATTGGTCCCCTTTTGGCCAAGTGTGATGATCCCAAAATGGGTCAAGACTCTGGTGTTGCTCAAGTTGTCAAACAATTAGATCAAGCTTGTAAAGAGGCTGGCTTTTTCTATGTGGTACTTCGAATTCTCTTCATTCAATTTGAACCAATGAAAGATAGAAAGATTTTTCATTTTCTGTTTCATAATTTTTTTGAGTGTTATGGTTTGGTGCTTTGTAATTGATCAGAAAGGCCATGGTATTCCTGAGACTCTACTCAAACAAGTCAAGAATCTAACACGCAAGTTTTTTGAGCTTCCATATGAAGAAAAACTCAAAATCAAGATGACTGCAGATAGTGGATACAGGTTAGTTGGAATGGCTTCTTATATATGCAATTCGTAAATGAGGATCAATTTTATTTATTTATGAATGATTAGCATCTGTATGCTTTGTATTAACAGATGGCTGAATTTTTCATGCAGGGGATATCAGAGAATTGGGGAGAACATAACCAAAGGTGTACCTGACATGCATGAAGCCATTGATGTAGGTCTTGTTTGTTGCTTTATGATTTATAGGTGTTTCTGTAGCCTATGAAGTAAGACATCATGTAGTTTTATATTTCTGGATAATTTATTGGACCTGTTCTTTTTAACCTTTTGTCTGCTGTCAAAATCATTATCACTTTGTTTCACCTCTAACAGTGCTATAAAGAACTGAAACCAGGGATGTATGGAGATCTTGGAAAACCCATGGAAGGATGTAACCAATGGTATGCACAAATTTAGGCCTTTTCTAAATCTTCCATTACAGATTAAGTAGGCAAGAATGCATTCGAGATTCGTATCAATCAACTTTACAGTCTGTACTTATCTTGATTGCTAAAAGATAATCTCTGTAATATGATAATTCTTGGGCTGATCTAACATCATGACTGAACAAATAGTTATCCCGCCATTGTTTACTTAGTGTAGTACAATTCTAGCTCTGGCCTCTAGGTTAAGGGTTTCTATCCAAGCTCTCCATTTGGAGGCATGGAACACACAGTCATCCTGAGAGCCATTGAACAAATTCATTATTATTTTTTATTTCATAACCTTGTTATTGTAAACTGCTAATTAATGTTGAAGTTTTGAACATCATTTGTGTATAAAAGTATTCTCTAAACCGCAGTTTCATACTTCGCTATTTCACACTGCTACTTTTGACTCGATTGCAGATTGCGGAATTAAGTTGATAATAATTTGGGCATTAGATTGTGACTATCATATTAAGCATCTTTGGTCCTTTTTGCTACTTGTTTCAAGCTTGTTATAGGATTTTTTATGGAATGCTTACCTGATATTACTGGATTTTTTTGTTTTGTCTTATGATCCTTTCTGCAGGCCAATTAAGCCCACAAACTTCAAGATGCTGATGGAGGAATATGTTAGCCTCTGCACAGGCATGCTTTCCATGACAACCAAGCTTTCTTCCCTTGTTTATCCTTTCATACTCTTCTAGTTATAACTTTTGTTTCTTGTTGCTTTTAGAACTTTCAAGAAATATAATGCGTGGAATTGCTTTAGCATTGGGTGGTTCACCATATGAATTTGAAGGTGAAAGAGCTGGAAATGCATTTTGGGTGATGCGGCTCATTGGTTACCCAGGTGTACACTCTGCTAATGACTCAGACATTCCAAAGGAGGACATTGGATGGTAAGGCAATATTACTGCCTTTTGTGCTTGCACTTTTCCCTTAACATTTGGGTACATAAAGTGATGTTCTTTCTTTTTCTTTTCCCCGTTGCTCTCCTTTTGTTCCTTTGGCCGAACATTTCCAGTGGAGCTCACACTGATTATGGTAAAGTTTCTTCACCCTTAGATAATGCAAAGCGTAGAAAATCAATAAAGCAATAACATCTAATGTTGTTCCATTGCAGGTTTGTTGACATTGGTTAATCAGGATGACGATATAACTGCACTTCAGGTAAAATCTGATTAAAACTCCGTTTCATTTATGTATCAGTAAGCAATGGTTTGAGGCCAAGTAAAAGACGCAGTCTTTATGCGAAGTTTTCTTTACAAAGCGAAGAGAAATTTCCATTTCTAGACTATGTTCTGTTTGTATCCTTCTACTCTAGTTTCCACAACAGTTGAGTTGAATGACTTGTTGAAGGTGAGAAACCATTCGGGCGAGTGGATATCAGCTCCTCCTGTTCCGGGAACATTTGTCTGCAATATCGGAGACATGTTAAAGGTAATATTAATCTGTGCAATTAATTCTTCCTAATTTCCGTACCAACACCTGGATTTAGTACCAAGTCATTCTCATCTCTGAAATAAGTGCAGATTTACTCAAATGGTTTATATGAGTCTACTTTGCATCAAGTTATCAACTCCTCCCCAAAATATCGGGTCTGTGTGGCATATTTCTATGAGGTGTGAAGATTGCCCGTTTATTTATTCACTCGTCCTTTCCTCTTCTTCCTTCTTGTATTGTGTTTTACAACTGCTTTTGTTGCATGAACAGACAAATTTCGATACAGCAGTGGAGCCTCTGGATATTTGTAAAGAGAGGACAGCTGGAGCAAAGAAATTTGAAAGAGCTGTTTACGGAGAACATTTGGTTAAAAAAGTCCAAACAAACTTCGTTTATTAGTTGAAATTTAGTATATAAAACAGTAAGTCATTACTGTATCGAGTCAAAGAACTCTGGTAATTTGGTGAAACTAGTTTTCTTCTCTTTTTTCTTCTAAGAAAATATTCTTTGGGTTCATATTTGTTGTCATGAGATTTGAACTTAATACCTACTCAAACAATCTGGACAACGAAATGACACTAGACCAAATGGTCATTCGCAGTGAAACTAGTTTTGAAATTGTTAACGTTGAATGGGGATGGTAATGTTGACCACCCGCATGGATTGTGGAATTCTAGTTGGTAGGGATTGAATTGTACAAGTCTTCAATTTGGTCCCCTGAACTTGATCATACACTAAATACAACATATAAACAAACCCAGAAGCCAAAGTGAAAATGAGTACAGATTACAACAATCATACAAGGCATTCGACCAAAAAATACAAGGCATTCCACTTCGACCAAAAATACAAGGCATTCCACAAACCGAGTCGAAATACAGAGAATCAATACCCTTCTCCCACAATGGGATGTTAATACAATTGAGGTTTCTCCCTTTCTTTTTAGGGGCCATAAACTCAAATACACAATCATCACCACAAAAGAATGTAGTATGGTAAATAAATAGGCGGTCTTCTCCTCCTATGTAAGTTTATATCAGTTGAATTAAATTAAATAAGAGCCACGAAACCTAACATTACAAAACTCGAAAATGATAACAAAAACCTAACGGAAAACCTGATTCTTAATTCTGATTTTGGCAAGACTCCTATATCTGGAACAGCACCTCATTCAACCAGTATCACAAAGTTCAAGTGGCCGGACCATTCGCACAAATAGTTGCAGCATTGGTCTCTTTAAGATGAAGTGGAATGCCTGCCCCAAGCTCTCTAAGCCGATCTACAATACTATAAAGAAACTCAAAAGTAAGTATGGATTGTGCATTAAGATCTTCTCTTATATGTGGATGAATTCGAAACCACTGTCCCAGCATCTTGTGCACATGAGCACGGATCATACGCCAAGGCACAGGGTATTGCTCACAAAGCTTCAAATACTCCACCAAAAGATCTGCCTGGTCCAGTTTCCCATCTTTCTTGCTTTCTTCATTCCCTGGTACCCATTCAGCAGTTCGAAATCCAGCAAAAAGAGCTGGATTCTCAAGAAGAGATTCCGCAGAAAGCACCCCATCAGCACCAGTCGCTTCCAGACAGTCGTGAACGTCATCCATGTGCCTGATGTTTCCATTGGCAAGGACGGGGATTCTGAGAGAATTTTTGACAGCCTTGATGGCGTCCCAGTTCGCCCGGACTTTCTTCTGGTCTTTCTCATCTCTTGTCCGGCCATGGACGGCTAAAAGTGAGCAACCAGCATCCTCTAACATCCTAGCATACTTGATTGTATCTTGTAAATCCGGAAAGATACGGACTTTGCATGAAACGGGGACATGAAGGTTTTGAACCAAGTTTTCTACTAGAGATTTTATAAGAGGAAGGTTATCCATTAGAAAAGCTCCATAATTCCCCCGCCTAGCAATACGCTGAGGACACCTGAACAAAAATTCACACTAACTCAATGATTTGAGGCTTTCAATCCATAAACCCCACAATAAATCAAAGGGTATTCAAGAATTTGAAATAGGTGTTAGTGTGCAACGTTCTCGAGCTAGTTTGGCACATGCAAACCAGAAATCACTTCAACATTTGAACATTTCCCAGTTTGTTTGCTACCCACTAACACTAAATTTAAAGCACAAGTCTTATATTAATACAGTCCCATTTGAACAAAGATGCTAACTTCATAAATAAAAGAAATTAAACAAAGAATTACCCCAAATTAATGTCAACATAATCACAATACGGCTCCACTCTCTTCGCAGCCTCTAACAAAACTTCAGGATCATTAGCACAGAATTGAACAAATAAAGGACGGTCCTCCTGCAACACTAAAAAAAATCAAACCCACCAACCAATGAAACATTGCTATCTTCATCACCAAATTCAAACACTGTTACCTTGCAAGTGGTAAATTCCTGGTCTCTATACTTCTCACTCTCAGTGAAAATGCGAGAGTGCAGCATGGGCGTGTACGCAGCGTCGGCGCCGTACTTGCGGCAGAGCATCCGAAACGGGAGCTCCGAGTTGTCCACCATTGGAGCCACAATCAATTTGGGCCGGCCCAGCTTCGCCCAGTGAGCCCATGCTCGCTCGATACGCGACTCGCCGCTCAAGCAGAGAGACGGCGCCGTATCGGCAAAATTCTGCTGTTGTTCTTCTTGTTGCTGGTGTTGGTCGGAGCAGAGGACGTCGTCGAGGTCTTGCGGTGGGTCTGAATGGAGAGTCCGGGCTTGGGCTTCGGGTGCGGTGAGAAGGGAGGCCATGTGAGGCTTGGGTGTGAGAGGATTTAGGGTTTTGGGAGAGAGAAGGGGCAAATTGGGAATTTTGAATCTCATGAGCGGACGATGGGGATGGAGGAGAAGCAGCCCATCGCCGCCTTTGGTTGTAGATGGGACGACGATACGCTACGCTACTCAGTAGAGGACACTGTGAATTGCGTACGGGTTCGAATTGTTCGCACGCAGAGGCTTAAAGCTAGGGCTGTACGACATGGCGTTTTGGTGAGTTAAGCCCATCAGAGCCCATTCTAGTGACCAACTTGGGCCTCAATTTGGGCTGCCACTCTGATACCCATTTGCACAATTTCTACCATGAACAATAACTAATTTTAAGATTAAACAATGAGGAAGATGAGGTGGCACTTCCCCAGTATCGCTTGTATAAAAATATAAAATACAAAATCCTTTTCCGGAGTCTTATTTACTTTTCACTAAATTCAGAGTGAGGTCATTCCAATGTTAGTTTATTTTATTTTTCGCAATAGAACAGAATATGTTGAATTCTGAATTCATTTGGATGAGTATAGACCTAGTACCACAAAACCAAATAATGAGTAATCGTGAAATAAGTATGATTAGAAAAGTATGGGGTTTGAAGAGACCAAGGCTTGACTTCCGTAAAGATGCAATAATCACACACTATCGATGCAAGTTTTGTACAAGTTCCGCATTACTTCCTCATATTCGACTTTTCAAGTGGATAAATTCCCCATTGTCGGGGAAGTCAAGTCTAGACCTTATACAAATAGCAGGACAACTTAAGTAAATGTCGAAAGTCATTGTTTTTACTTAAAAATGGCATTAACAACAACGTTATGTTTAAGCAATCCTTTTAGACTAAACTTCATATACCCATAAAATTCATTTTAAATCACCTACAACCCTTCTCTTTATTTTTCTATTTAAAATACCCAATTTTTTTCAAATAATACCCGATGACTAGGATTCCAAAACTACTCATATTTATAAGTTAATGTGTTATGAGGGGTATAACTAATGACACACGTTGAATTTGGAAAGATCTCCAAATGGTTGTAGGAATTAATTTAGAAACTTATTTGAAATTAAATATTGAATTCAACATTAACATAGGATGCATTTTTGCTCACCACTTTAACCCTAAGTATACCCTCACCACCTCTCCTAAAAGTTGACACATGTTCATGGGTTTAACTATAGTTATTTCTTTTTTCTTTTCTTTTTTTTATTTGATGACATTATTATGAGAGAGAAACAATACTTTAATAATAAAATTCCTGATTTACCCTTATTCTAACCTAACAAACTTTCTACTTTTCTAAATTAATTACCAACTACCCAAATAAATAATTGGAAATTGGCTTTATGTCCCGTGCTTTAATATGAATCTCAATTCACAAGCTTCAATACTTTGAAGAACACGCCCAAATACATATTAGTAATTTATAGGTGATTAACGTTTTGGTTTATTTAATAAAAAAATTATGTTGTTTTCATTTTATGAATTATACGACTAGTAATCTATTTTATCATAGTTGTATGAATAATAGTATACATTATAATTATGTTGAAAAATAATTTGATAATCTATTTATTGTTTGGTTTTTGAAAAACATTTTTTTTTAAACGAACCTATTTTTTCTCTAAATAAAGCACATATTACTTGTTTTATGAAAAATAATTTGATCATCTTTTTATTGTTTGTTTTATGAAAACAATTTTTTTTTTTTATATAAATGAACCTATTTTCCCTCCAAATAATGTACCTATTTTTTTCCTCTAATAATGTACTTAGTAAAACAATTTACCTAGTATAATGAACCTATTTTTTGGCTAAATTTTATATCTATTTTTTTCTCTAAATAATGTACCTATTACTTGTTTTATGAAAAATAATTTGATAATCTATTTATTTTTTGTTTTATGAATTTTTTTCCTCTAAATAATGTACCTATTTTTTTCTCTAATAATGTATACCTAGTAAAACAATTTACCTAGTATAATGGGGTGATTGATATTGTCAAACCCAAAAGAAATGGGGTGACTGATATGTTATTAATAGGGAGTTTTAATTACAATTATGGAAGTGAATGAAATGCTTGGAATAAATTATAAATAAAATATGAAGTCTGATGGCAACGATGTAAAAACGTAAGAATACTATGATATCTTATATCCTAATGGTCATTTAAGTTTGAAATTGGGTTTTACACATAGATTTATAGAATGATGGGTATATGTCTAGGAAATAGAAATTGTAGGGACATATATTGGACAAGCCTTATATTAAAAAAGCAATAAAAACAATTCTACAATCTCTTCTAAATAGTTTTATCCTTAGTTGTAGCAAGCAACTCGCGGCTTAAGTGATTAAGAACATTCATCAATGCATTCTGAATCCTTTGCTTTGATTTTCTCTGCCATGATCTGACTCTGCACCTCCATACACATCATTAAAATTTAATCTAAGGGATTTAAAGTTTGACACATCATCTCTAAAATAAAAATCCAATTTACTATTAATTTAAAAAAAAAACCCTAATTGAACTATCAAGAAAGTTAACTTCTGCATTTTTTTTTCTATCTCCCTTTCTCTTCAACGTCCCTCCTTTTCAGCTGTTTTTATCTTCTTTCTTTCTCTGCAGCTTTTCCACCCAATTGCACAATTATTTTTTTAATGGGAGAAAATGCAATTTTCTTATTTTGTATTGGTTTGATTAAAGACAACTTTTTGTACTTCTTTTGTTGGTTTGTTTGCTGTAATCCTAAGTCTTTTTTTTTCTTTACTTTGCTCCCTACACCCTGTTGGATTTGATATTTTAGAAAAAAATTTGGCTTTGTTTCTCCTGATGATACCAAAACATTGAAATCCAATTCAAAGCCAAACAGAAACCTAACTAGTTTCGGTGAGAAAGGGGAAGTTTTCAATTGTTGCAGTCTTGTAGAGATAGGAAGAAAACCAAAAAAACATAGAAGAGCATGTAGAAGGGACCAATAAATAAGAGCATGTAGCTGGGACAATAAATAAGAGAAAAGCATGTCATCAAACAAACCCGGAATCCAGATATTGAAACATGATTTCTCTTTTATCTAGGAAAACAACAAAGGAATACTTTTTTTTGGAACCACCCTCTTCAAACAATGGATATGGGAAGATATATATATTTTTAATCTTGTAGAAAGGAAAGAGAAGAGATTACACAGGTTTTGGGGAAGGAAAGCTTGCAGAGGGCGTTAGTTGGGTTAGGGTATTTTTGTTTTGTTTTGTAAATAGTAGTAAATTGGTTTTTGTTTTAAAGATGATGTGTCAAATTTTAAACCCCTTAGATTAAATTTTAATGAGGTGGCGTGTGGAGCACAAGAGTCAAGCAGTTCATGACAGAGAAAATCAAAGCAGAGAATCCGGATCCTTCAAGGTATTGTGTCGAGTTTACTCTATTAATCTCGATTGTACAAAAAAGGAAAATTTGTTATGATTATATTTCCTTTATTTTGGAGCTCCCTCCTTACCATGTAAGTAGGAGTTCCTACATTCCTGCCAATAGTAGTGTGACGTGTGCAAAAGATTTTATTTTTTGTATTTTTAATGAATTATTTTGTATGTGTGTCAAACTCTGATTCGTAAAAAAGAAGAGTAAGCAGTATCATTTCGGGTTTTGTCATGATAAGTTCAATACTAATGAACGTGTATTTGTTTTTTATGGGATTGAACTTTGTGCATTTGAGGAAGCCACATGTGAATGATGAATTTTGATAAGGATAGCGCACCTTGGGGACCATACTTACATACCAAGATTTGATTTTTCGGGCCAAAGGCGAACAAGAACAAATTAGTGCACAGCCATGAAAGGGCCCCATAATTGGTCAAAATGATGAATAGCGCACCCACAAAATTTGACTTGAGCATTAATTTTCCTACTAGATCTGGCTTTGAGGCAAAGGAAGTAGCAAAGCAAACAAGAAAGGAAAAAACAAATTATTGCCCACCCACAAACTTTGACTTGGGCATTAATTTTCCTACCATATCAAAGGCTTCCACACCTTTGCCTGCAAAGACTTTTGTAGGCCAACTATCTTTTCTTGTCTTTCAATTCCCTCCAAATTCAGCCAACCTTTAATTTTCTTTTTTCTTTCTCCCAAGAGACCAAAGAACCAACAAAATTGCATTGAAAAAAAAAGTCATCAATCACCCAATACCCACCTTCAGTAAATTAGCCGTTTCCAACTGGCCAACTGCCAACCCCACAGGTTTCTTTGGTCAACCGTCACAAATACGACATGTTGGTCCACTTCTTTACAATTCTTTGACCCAGTCCCTTTCATTTCTTTAAATTTCTCTCCTTTCACTGTTTGTAATGAATCAAATCAAAAGAAAAAGTAGAAAACTTTGGGGGTGATGGAAGGAAAAGTAGAAGGTAGGCATCCAAGACAAGAACCAAAGTAAAAGCAAGCAATCAATCAATCCAGAAAATTAAAAATAAAAATTATCTACAAGGAAGGAAGAAGAACCCAACAACACCCACTTTCCCCTTTCCATTCTTTTCTTCTTTTTTCCAATGGGAAAGAAACCAATTAGACTAATCACTAAATAATACCAAATCCACCATCCACATTTCTTTCTGGTTTAAATAAGAATACGATTAATTCACAGTGTTTGAAGAGTGGAGAAGGAACCCCATATTGTACAGCAAAATGAACTAATTTAACTCACTCTCATCTCCTTCGAGATGGAACCGAGTCTTACTGAGTCGGAGTCCGAGTCCGAGTCCAGCCGGAACTGTAACTACTACTGTCACTACTAGCACTGCTCTGCTACCCATTAATTTCTCTCTCTAGAAAAAGATGAACATACAAAGGCTTTTTCTTGCATTTTCTGTTTTTTTGATGATCTAAGACGATTCTAGAATGAGATTGGAGGTCTCTGCAACTGAGAGAGAGTGATTGTGCTCGCCTTCATAGGTCACTACAAGCATTGCTGGATCATCGAGAGCTCTCTCTACATGTTTTCGAGCTGGGCACCCTCTGACACTGCTGCACTTATAGTATCCCCTGTTTCATAGAAAACAACAACCAAAACACAGATTAAAACAAGACCAAAACATCTCAAAGCCTGAAAGCCTAAAAGGGTTGCTATTTCAGAGTTTTAGGCAGAGAAAAGTGTGAAATTGAACTAATTGAACTTGAAAGGTCAAAACTTTCCAAGATTATACCTTGGATGTGGAGATCCCTTAATGGGCTTCTGTCCATACTTTCTCCAAGAGTAATCATCAGGTGGAATATCAGCCATCTTTAAGCTTATAGCTGGAACTCTCACAACCCTTTTCAATCTCAGCTTTCTGCAACAAACCCCACAACCCAAAATTTCATTTTAGTCAACAAGTTAAACTCGACCAACAACTAAATCGAATTAATTAGAACGTAGAAATTGATTGATTGAGAGAGAGAGAGGGACCCACCTCTTCTTAGAGCAATGGCAGCGGCCGGAGGACCCAGCACCGCACTTGCCAGAGCCCAAGTTATCAGAACTGCACTTCCTCTTCAACGAAGCTGACGAAAGCGGTGGCTTTCCAGCTGAAGACACCTGGGACATGTTGGTAATTTGAAAAGCCGAAGACGACAATGGCTGCTTGCTGTCGGAGTCTCCAGTCAACGACGACATAAACGACGTCGTAGCTGAATAGGAGAAATTTATAGTGGTGGAGGAGTCCTTGGTGCTCTCGAGCACAGTACTGTGATGATGCAGAGGAGGCGGGATCTGCTGGATCGGCGTCGCATGGTAAACCTTGGTGGACTCTAAAGGAGCTTGCTTGACGAAGGTTTCTTGGGTTTGGGCTTGGTTTTGAGAAGAAGAAGAAGACCCAGAAGTCAAAGTCAAAGGTGCTCGCCTGAAGCGGGCATGGCCGGTCCGGGTACGACCCAGAAGAGAAATGACCTTCTTGAACTTGGAAACGGCGACGTCCGCGACGGCTCTGCAATCCATGTCCATAACCATGGAAGGGTACTTATCTTGATGCTGGTTCTGCTGAGCCTGAGACAAGAGTCTAATGAGCTTCTCGACGCTCTCGAGCCCAGAAGCTGCTTCTTGCACCGCGTTCTCTTCCAATTTCGCAGAGAAGCTGCTGTTCCTATAACCCATAAAATCTACAGCCATCTCTGACCCTCTTCAGCATAACAAGAAAAAAAGAGCCCAAACAGAGAACCAAAGATAAAAAAGCTAAAATAGAGAGAGAGAAAGAAAGCCAAAGCAGAAAGAAAAGCGTAAAAGAAGTTGAAGAAGGGGTGTTGATAAAGGGTTGCCTATGAAGTGTTTGTTGTAATGCGTCTACGGTCAAAATGATGGCATCTATATCCGGTGGCCCACTAGCACTTGCCGTCAAGATGTAGGTGCGAATAAGATCCAACCACACCACACAATTGAAACAGCAGCAGCAGCTTTGCTTTTGGCAGTGCACGAATATTTACAATTTGTTTTTCTTCTTTTTTGCTGTTTAAATTGTTAAACTAATGAGGGTTTGATGCTTGGTGTCGGATTAACATTGACCTGCTCTGCTTTAGTCTTATCAGAATTTCAATTTGGTCAAAGCTGGTGCCCAAGCCGTTGGATTGAAGAGTGATGTGGATGATCTGATAATCTGTGTGAGGAGAGAGAGGGCTGAGTGTGACCAAATGGAAATAATTTTGAGGGAAAAAGACAAGAGTTGCTGTCTGGCAGCATGATAGAGTTGACTTTGTCTCTGGGCAACTTTCGTGAGGACATCCATATTTTTCTTCTTTGTGTCATGTGACAGTGGCTTACTGACTTGGGTGGGGGATTGGATTGGATGGATGGAGCCGAAGGGGTTGGGCTGTGATACTAATTTATTTGTTAATATGGTTTAGGGTTAAAGTTGTTGTTTAAGAAATGCTTTTTCGGTTGATTTCTTTTTTATGGTTTGGAATGGAAGAGGACCACGGACATGGTTCTTGAGTGACTTCATGTGCAATGGAGACACTAGGAGTTTCCTCAATCAACCATTTGCCATTTTGTGCAGGCTTTGCAGGCTACTCTCTACAACACTCCAAAACCATCACAAATTTGACCGAAACCCATCAAAGGAGAATTGGTCCATGCAAATTAAGCGTGAGAGATTTCGAATTGGCCCCAAAACTAGCCACAAAATCAGCAAAATGGTGAAGAAAATATGCTGCTTCTAGTTGTAGGCTTGTGCCTGCCTATGTGTTGTTTGTTTTCCGTGTTGAAATTATACTCAATCAAATTAGACCCAAAAATAGCGTGGAGTGCTGCTATTTTCAATTCCTATTTCCCCACTCACATGATTCTCAAAATTTTAAAAATAACTTACCCATTTATAAAATTACTTATAAAGACTTAGAGAAAAATATTTAATATTTAAAATAATTAACTTAAATGTAAAATGCATCTCCAACTTTTCATTAAAAATAAATAAAAATTCACAGAGAGTTCGACCAACAAGCCACCGGAGTCCCTTGTTCGTGTTTTGACCTCGGATGGATTACCTTGTCCTCCGATGGATCATGTGTTTTAATTTTGTTTTGTGGAGAAGTTCTGTGTTACTATTCTTGGTTTGGATTAGTTTTTTATCTTCTCTTTCTTGATCTTGTAGTGGTCTCGTTGTCTTAGCGTGTTTAGCTGTTGTTGCTGACCTTGCTCCTATTTCGTTCCCCTTCTGGTGGTTTAATGAAATTAGATTTGAGAGAGAGAGAGAGAGAGAGAGAGAGAGAGAAAATTTGGTTGAATTAATTAAAGAGTAGTTTGGGAATAACGGTGGGTGGAAAGATAAGATTGTATTTTTTCAAATTTACAATATGAGTGAGAAATAAGACGGGGTGAAAATAGCAGCACTCATTCCTCCGTAACCAAAGGTTAATTTTCAAAAATTAATGACAAAACAAATTTCGTCCAAAAAAACGACAAAACGACAAAACAAATAAACAAAAAAAAATTATATATATATATATATATATATAGATTTGGACGCGTGCAATAGGCACGTGTGAGGCTGATAGGCTATTATGAATTGACTAGGTTGGTACAAAAGTCAATGGCCGGAAAGCTGGATGAAATTGACTAAATGGTGATGTTATGAATTAGAAGAAGAAGGAAAAATAAACGTGTTGAAGTTGGCTGCCTAAATTTTGACTTCAAACCCAAAAGTCAGTAATTTACGGGGGCGGCCAATAGCCATAAATACCGACGTAACATCCATAATTCATGCTTAAATAATGCTTAAGCTCTGTTTAAAATTAATATTAAATTCCGACGTAACATCCATAATTTTTTAGATTATAAACCAAAGAATAGTATAAATCAACTAATATATATATATATATATTTTGCAAATACACAACTTGAAAGAGGCACAAAGTAAATTAAACCAGAAGTCTACGGATTCTATATTAAGCTTTCACATGGACAAACTTGGAGTCTGAGTTTCTTAATCCATTTTAAGGAAGAGGATCTTGTTATTAATTGGTTTTCATAAAATTGATTAAGTAGAGGAGACAATATATAATATATCCACCGGATCATATAAATGTTTTAACTTAGATAAACTGTTTTTAAAGCTAGGCATATACATTTGTGTCTATAACACTCATTATGTGAAGAGAATCTCTCCCTCGTGAGGGATTAGGAATATAAATCCAAAGTCGAGCGTTGCTTTCTGGTTTCCATGGAAGAACAAAGAAGCATGCATGTGGTTTCTTAAAAGAGAATAAATTTGATTGTGAATTGTGATCGGGTAGGTAAGGGAGAATTTTATTCATAACCACTATGGGACGATGTAAGCCAGTCACAACTCACATGCATGTGTCTTGTTATTACATTATTGATCTAATCATCCAACACACTCCCATCATCCCATATCCATTTCAAAATGTATGGCGTTTGAATTCGAATGGATTTATTCACCAACTCCACAACCATGAACCATCCCCTCCTATCTTTCGTATTCATTTGTTCCTTTTTGACTCATAGGACGGTGGACGAGACTCGAATTACGAGTAATGTTATTTTACCAGACTTAAATTGTTTCTTGAATTTAAACCGCACGTTCAGATAATGATGAAACTTGTGTTTTGAGGCCCACTTTATATTCTTAAGTTTCTAGCTTAGTCTTCAGCATGGGAAAAGGCAAGAGAAGATAGTCAAAGCTATACATAGTTAAATTCTTGCATAAGCAAATAACTACACGAAAGATAAGTTGGTTTTTTCTCATTGGTGGAGCCTAGTTGTGACTCTTATGAGAAACCTCGGTGTGGAAGGAAATAATGATGTTTTGGAATTCCAACCCAACATACTGTGTATGAATAAGCTAACAAAAATTCTTCACGTCCAAAATTAGTCAACCGACTTCAAAGGGCAAGTTAGAATTTGATGAGCATCAACAACAACTTTTTCAATAGTTTTAAAATTTTAAAACAAATGAGTCACATTAGAAAAACTCTCTCCAACAGTCTTTTTAATTTTAGTTATCAAAGCTGCAACTTTTTTCTTTCTCTTCATGACTAGTAAGTTGACTTTAGCTCTTCAAATATTTACTTTGGAAAGACAAAACCTACCATGAAAATGTTAAAAACATACAATTTTTTATATTCGTATAATAAATACATAGACATTTAAAACATTTTGTTTTCATTTTTTTCATTTTTTTATATAATGATATTGCATTAATTGAATTGAAGAATTTGTTGGAGCAAAAATTATTCAAGTAGCAAATAAGGCTTTTCAAATTGCCAAGTAAGTCAACAAACTTTAATTTAAAGAATTTATTTGCTACTATTGTTGGAGATGCTTTTACTCATTTACTTAGAGCATCCACAATCATTCTCTCTATTTTTTAGTTAAATTGTAGCTAAAAAAATATAAAATTTATTTTAGGAGCTCTCTATAAAATTTCAACTCCAATCATGCTCTCTAGTTTAGGGAGTGATAAATGCTCTAATTCTTTTTTGATTGGTCAATCTCTATTAACAAAAACAATATAAAAAATAATTAGCATTAATTAAAAGTTTGAAATACTCATTAAATAAAACACCATTAAATTATAGGAAGCTACTATGACTACTTTCTCTCTCCTCAAATTTAGCAGCACATACAGGTTTCCCATTTTAAGAAGTGGATAGGGAGCATGGTTGGAGTTATATTTTTTCAATTCCTCCCTAAATTTTGTCTAATAACGTAGTTTAAGGAGTCCATTGTGAATGCTCTTACTAACTCATGGTCTGGTAGTTTTTCTTTTGCAACATTATGAGAAGAAGTACTAAATTCAAACAAATATTATAATGTAAAGCTAATCAAGTCCCAGGTCCACTATTCTCACTTGGTCTGGGTTATTATGTTGGGCAAATGTGAGATATGGCCCACGGTTTAAAGCAGGCCCAAGCATTTTCATAACTGGTTTACAATTTTAAATTTAAAAAAAGAAAAGAAAAAACAAAGAAAATTATTGATCCATATATAAAACGTGCACCGACTTGATTTTTTGTTTTGTTTTGTTGGGCTTACCGACTCTTATTTGTTCCCATAAATTTAAGCAAAAATCATTCTCAATTTTTAGCAATGAGATTTTATCTTAACCAAATTCAAGTTGTTTTGGTGCCTTTATATGACTAAATCACATATATGGACATTGGTTTTCCGACAGAAGTAATATTGGAGGATGGGGATTGAAAATATGACTTCACTTCAAATGTAAGGATAACTACTATTAACTACTTGCAGTTGATATTTGATTTCCTCATACTTGCTTCTTTTTTCTTCTTCTTATTTTAAGGCTGAGAGAGATTGCTTGCCTCAGTCTCAAGCAAACAAAACAATGCAGGGTGTTGTGGATCTAATCAACTTAATTATAACCAGTCACCAACCCCATATCCTCCCATTCATACTGTGTTCCAATCACTTTCATTTCCCTTTAGACAAACATCATTTTCATTTCCCAAAATTGTAATAGCAACAATTTGGAAAATACCACTTGCTTCAACTTCTTTTCTTAAATTTTTTTTTTTTTTTTTTTTTTTTTTTTTTTTTTTTTTAATATGCAAATCATATGCACATTTGCAATAAATAAAAAAGCCAAAAATGCAATAGACTAGAGCTCTAAGACTCCAAATTTCATCCAAGATCTAATGTATTGTTCTAGTTTGATTCGATTTTTCAAAGTAATGGCTCGACTTTGTGCTAAAATCACACATGATTCGAATCAACGTTTCTCGTCCTGACTTATGAACTATTCGATGTTTTAAATTAGTGGTTGGCTTAGGTCTGTTTGTATAAGTCAAGTTAGGAGATTGAGATTTGTTAATTGCTAGGGTTCATCATGAAGATTTTGTGTTTTGATATGTTTGGTTTCCCTTTTTTTTCCTTGTGCGTTTGTTTGTGTTATATAATTGTTGGGCATCCCTTTTTCAGCTTTTGGGCCTTTGTCTTCCTTTGCTGCTGTCCCTAGCCTCCTGAGGGATTTGGGCTTGTAGCACTTTGATCATCAGGTTCAGGACTGTGTTTTTGGTCAACCAAAAACAAAAAAGTTAAGTTGGTTTAATTCGGATATAGAGAAAACTTTTTGGGAGTGGGACCAATCTAACCTGGGTCAGGTTACAACCCCACCCTGTTATGGGTCAATCTTGCTAATTATGCATCCTAATAGGTTTCATATCTTACAAAATAGGCTAGCATTTAATTAGACCCAAATATAAACCACAAATTAGATTCTCCACAAACTGTTTTTCAAACCAGTCAATAACTCCCATGGCCTAATTTCTCATTGACAACTTCTTCAAATCAGCAATTGATTGTTGAAATGGAAAACCCTTATTTTCCAATTTTCCAACTTTCCATCCCCAAATTAATCCAAAGTTGGTCCATCTCTATCACTCTCCTCACTCCTTAGGTCTCACTCCATCAAGCATTTAGTTGACCAAATAATAATAAAATGTCACACTCCCATCAACTAATAGAAGCGACTCTATACAATAAAATATCAATGGAGTATTAATTGGATTGGTCAGGCTTTTGGTGTGCTCCTAAATGATCATGATTTCAAATCCTTATGGTATCAGTGTGTGTGAGTTTTCCTCCCTCCCCTTCTTAACTTTGGGCAAAAAAAAAAAAAAAAAAAAAAAAAAACCATACAATAAATAATTAAATAATAAAAAAAATTGTTAATTTGATTAACAACAAAAAAAAAAAAAAAGAAAAAAAGAAAAAAAGAAAAATCGTTGCTTGCATTAAAATTAAAAGCGTGTAATTAAGCAAAGAAAATCCTCCTACCAAAAAATGGCCAACCAAACTATCCCTGTCTCAGACCCAAAACAAAACCCTCCCTGTCCGAACTTAACCAAAGCCCACCCCGGGCCCACAGTTTTGGGCCTCTCTCTCTCTCCTCTCTCTTTCTCTCCTCTTTCTCTCTCGTTGCAAAGCAGACAAGAAATACAGAAGAAATTGAAAAGCAAAGCAAATCTAACCACCTCAATATTCATTCGTGAATTCAAAGAAATCTCTGATTAATTTAGCTAAGTAATCAAAGATTAAATCACCATCATCGCCACCATACCCAACCTCCCCTCTGCACGCTTAACTAACTTCAAAGGAACTCAAATGATATAGTCAAGAAGACCACATAGCAAACATCATACCACCACACTTCCAATTCTAGCTCTGCTTTCTCTCTCTAGGATTCCAAGGAGAGAGAGAGAGGGATGAAGCTCTCGACGTTGCAGCAGAGCTACCTCAACAGACGGAGCAACAGCTTCAGAGGATCAGCGCCGTTGGATTCGTCGTCAGACGGCGTGATTAAGTCTCCTGCGACCGTGTTCTGGCTCGTGCTCCATGGCCTCTGCTGCCTCATCAGTCTCGTCCTCGGCTTCCGCTTCTCTCGACTTGTTTTCTTCTTCCTCTTCTCCACCTCCTCTTCGAATCTCTATCCGGTGCCTTTCCGGTCGGCTTCTGAGCTCGCCGGAACCCTAGACCTCCCCGCCAACCCGATCACGAACCTCGAGTTCACTCTCAACAGGAATACAACCACCGCGAGCTCCAGTAGCCGGGTCGTCGTCGGGCGGCACGGGATCCGAATCAGACCCTGGCCCCATCCGAACCCGACCGAGACGATGAAGGCGCATCGGATAATTGAGACTGTTCAGAAGGAGCAGCGGAGACAGTTCGGAGTCAACAACCCCAAAACGGTCATAGCCGTCACTCCCACTTACGCTCGGACCTTCCAAGCTCTACATTTGACTGGCGTAATGCATTCGCTTATGCTGGTCCCGTACGACGTCGTTTGGATCGTCGTCGAGGCCGGTGGGATTACCAATGAGACGGCCTCGATTGTTTCCAAGTCGGGGCTCCGGATCATCCACGTTGGGTTCGATCGGCGAATGCCCAATACTTGGGAAGGTCGTCACCTGTTGGAGGCTCAGATGCGACTTCATGCGATGAGGTGAATTCCCAGTTTTTTCATCTTCATTTTGTTTATCTCGAGTGCTTTTGGCTCAGTTGCTTGCTGTCTGTTTATTTACTTATGTTAATTGTTCTCAGAAGATTGCTGTTAAATTTCAGGAAGAAAAAAACTTAAAAGCTTAACCAAATAATTGTGGATAATCTAATTAGACTGAGGATTTTTATTTGTTATTGTGAGAATGAAGCAATTGAAGATATCTTTAGTTATAAACTTGGGTTGCGTTTAGTTTATGAATTTGACTTTTGGGATTGTGTGATGGAGCAGAATTGTGAGAGAACAGAAGCTGGATGGGATTGTGATGTTTGCGGATGATAGTAATATGCACAGTATGGAGCTTTTTGATGAGATGCAGAACGTGAAATGGTTTGGTGCTGTTTCGGTTGGAATACTTGCTCACTCAGAGAATGCATATGACTTGTCTGACTCCACGATTCATAAAAAGGAGGATGGGGAGAACCCATCAATGCCTGTTCAAGGCCCTGCTTGTAACTCCTCCAATAAGTTGGTTGGTTGGCACACCTTTAATTCGTTGCCCTATGTGGGAAAGAGTGCAAATTACATTGATGATAGAGCACCTGTACTACCCAGGAAGCTGGAGTGGGCTGGGTTTGTGTTGAATTCCCGGTTGCTTTGGAATAGAGCTGAAGATAAACCAGAGTGGGTTAAGGATCTAGATAGTATAGGTGGGGCAGATGAGGATATAGGGAGTCCTCTTTTCTTGTTGAAGGACCTATCTATGGTTGAGCCACTTGGAAGTTGTGGGCGCCAAGTATTGCTCTGGTGGCTCCGCGTTGAAGCCCGTTTCGATAGTAAATTTCCTCCCAGGTTAGTCTTTCATCTTTTGCTCCTATTATTCATTTGTGCAAATTATCTTGGGTCTGTTCATTATTATTATTGAATCATGTTAAATATACTCAAAAAATGTTAGGAAGTATTGAACTTGTCCATATTAGGCTGCTCTTGCTCTATTGTTGAACTTTTGTACGAATGTGCTACATAACTTGTATGATTTCTTGATCTGCTGATGACCAGCACGCTAGGTTCGGGGGTGACACTGAAAGATGCTCCCCTGTTTGCCTTTTATGTCTTATAAATCCCAATGGGGTGATGTATACCTTAGTAACTTATTATATGTTATCTATCATATACAATGCTGGCAAACTACTTGATAATCTGTGAAAGTTTTTTTTATGGATATAGGTAGATATTTGCCAGCCAATTTAGGTGATTTACTTGTGTCCAAAACTCGAATCCTGTACCTAGATTCAAGGCACATATGGCGTATCTTTTTTTGTATTTTTTAGGTATTCTGATAGTCTTATTATCAATAAATGCAAATTTTGGCATTTGAAATATTTTATTAGTAAGTGGGTAAGGAAAATATAAATTATTTTATAGAAAGGTATTTTGGTAACACAAGCCCATTTGGTTTTGCACTTAGTAAATATCTCAGTGGTAATCAATCTTATTCTGATTCTAATTGTAGACAATTGATAAATATTCTAATGGCAATGACTTATTCCAGTTCCTTCTTATTTAAATTAATTCTCATCCCGGTTTTAGTTAAGTAAACATGCCATAACATTTTGAAGGGGTGACTGAGATTTGAGAAAATTGTGGTTATGCATAGCTGGTGGTGGTTGTGGTATGAGTTTGACAGAAAAGTTTTGTTTCATAGCTGGTAGTGTATATGCCAGAGTATATGTAATTGTTGTCCCACATCTTAATTGTTAAGTTTCTTGTTACAGTGGATACCAACAAAAATCTTTCCTATTGCAACATTATATTTTCTTTTGAATCTACTGCTTAAATTCTGCAGTGGTCGGGGAGGCCCACATGTGAGGGTTCGAGTGTTACAGATATAATTGTGTTAACATTTTATTCATAATTACTGGGATTTATATTTGATGTCCATTTACCTCGCTATTGGTAGTTTAGTTATTGGTTGCATGAGAGCAATTCTGATTGGAAACTTGAACCTCGCTCCCTTATGAATTTGTGCAATTGCACCTAGTATTTAGTTTATGTTTTAAAAAAAAATGCTTTAATAGGACATTAGTATTATTGTTATTTCCTTATCCCAGCAAGAATCGATAATTGTGGGTAAGGATGTTGATGGTTTATGGTCCCAAGGCAAGCCCAGGTGAGATTTTTTATTCCTTTTTTTCGGTATAGTTAGTATATAGGTTTAAGGTTTAGCCCAGTCCAAAATGTAACCTCCACCCTTAAGTAATCTAGCCCACCCCATTCTGAAATCATGGGTCCGTCCCTCATTCTTTGTTGAACTCTAGTGATCTGATAGTCAATAGTGAAATTTATCTCACTTGAAATGCGTGATATTTTTCATCCATGGACCATCATAGTTTGATCTATAGTTATGTTTGATTCTCCTTGTAGTCAGCTTTTCATCATGTTTATTCTGCAATCCGTTTGAGTAATTAGTTTGAATTTTGTTTTGTACAGATGGACTATTGATCCTCCTTTGGAAATTACTGTACCATCGAAACGCACTCCATGGCCTGATGCTCCTCCTGAACTCCCATCTGATGGAAAAGTAGAAACTGGAGTCGAAGAGCGCATAGTGAAGCATTCAACAAAAATTCGAACAACTAGAGTGAAGAAAAGTTCTCGAAGCAAGAGAAAGCGCGAGACAAAAATGATCGACATGCAGGCTACTGCAAGGCATACTGAACAAAACTGAAACACGTGCGATTGATGCTCAAAATATACAGTTGTGTGAATTTGAGACTTCTTTGGGTCTTCAGCATCGAAGAAATTCATTTGAAGAGGGATCACGGTAATTTTAGTTGAAAGAGGCAGAAAAGCAAATGTTCTCGGCGGGTACGTACAGTTAGGCACCTGTAATAGGGGGTCAGTTGATATGTGCATTTGAGTAGTTTCACAATTCATTGTTTCTTTTTGGGGATTTGGGTGCTTGATATTGTGGCCTCTTGCAGAAAAGTACATCGACCGAGTCGTGCTGCATCTGATCTGCTGCTCCCTTGCAGGAAGTTATATTCAAAATTTTATACATATTTTTCTAAATAGGAATTATAGAGTTGTGTTCAGTTGGATTTCGTAGAAACGATACATCACCAAATGTAATAAAATTTCCATTCATTTCAAACCAATGTCTTTGTGATTTTACTTGGAAGCAACATGACTGAGCAATGCCTTTCCATTCATTTCAAAAGCTTGGTAATCTGCAATTTTTTCTCAGAGTGACACGTACATAAATAGCCCAAAGACAATGAGAGCAAATCCTTTGGGCACATCTCATTATCCCTTTGTTTTGTACGCACCCAATAGAAAAAGAAAAAGAAAAAGAAAAAGAAAAATCCTTTTGATAGGCCCAGTTGTTTTATTAAGCCTTAAAGAATGAGAAATACTTGCATAAAACGGGATAACACTATTTTGCTATCTTCGGTCAATCACGATATACCACGCATGATAATTTTCCACATAACAATTTGTGATTGGCCGAATATGTAATCTTTGTTTCATACAAGTTTTTTATGCTAAAGAAGGCGGAAAATAAAAGGCTCACTGAGAACATTCTTTTGAAGTTCCAAGAAAAAGCCCAATTTTGGAAAAAACAAAAACAAAAACGCTCGCTAACTGTAGGCGTCTCTTGTCCGAAGGAGAAAAACTTGCCTGCCTGTTGCATACAAGGGGTGTCTTGCATATAAGCGGATGTAAGATACTTGTTGCATGTTGACAAGTTTTTCTCCATTTGATGGACATTAGTTTACCCTCTAAAATTACGAATTAGGATCTATGTATTGTTCTAACATGTATAAATATGGGGTTTTGCAGTCTATGAGATTCACAGAATCGATTCCCATCAATTACTCTTTGGTTTAATAATATTTGTTTCCACTTGATTGAAAGAGATTTTATATTTGACTCACATGAATGATATTAACAATATATCTGTAATGAACTCGATACCTGATTAGTGATAGTGTAGTCTTGTAATGTGTGCATTGGCCAACATAAAAATATATTGTAATTATTTGATCGATTGTTAAAAAAACCTAGAATCTGTGTACATACTTTCACAATTGAGGACTCTCCTCTCTCTCTCTCTCTCTCTCTCTCTCCGTCATCATGCATGTTATAGAATTAAGGTATGGGTATAAAGGAGTTCGTTTTGGAAGTTAAACTGGAAAACCTCCATAACGGGCGTGATGGGCCGAATTAATGGGTGCTGTAATTATTAGAGGAATGGTGGGAAGAGAGAGAGAGAGAGAGAGAGAGAGTATGATTGGTCATGGGTGACGGGTAGTTGATTGATTGATTGATTTCCTCACCTCATTGCAGTGACTGTTAGTTGGATATACATATCCATACAACGTGACTTAACCTTCCAACTTGCAAGTAAAAGAGAGACAGACAATCAAGTTGACCCATCCATTCCATGGTCCATCCATAGAAATTGGAAAATTCATAAAAGAAGGTGGTTTGAGAACCAATTGTTTCAAGATGATGAGGAGGGAGCGTTCTATTATCTTCTCATACAAGTAATTCTTACTTATCCATGAAGATTTTATTTATATGAATTAAATGTGAATACTTTATATATAAAGTTACATTTATATATATACATATATATTTCTTCTTTCTTCTGGTTTAAGTAGTTGGGGATTTAATAGTGAAATGGATGAATGAATCTAACTATATTTCCGGTCTCATGCTCCTTCATTCCTCTTGATGAAGAAAGAAAGGAATAATGAAATCATAAACTTGTTCTTTTTCTTTTTCTTTTTTTGGTGTAAGAAAATGATAGAGCATACATGCATATGGGCCTTTTTCTTTTCTTTAGGCTGCTTTAACCCCTTTCGCACACTGTTCGAGCACTTTGACTGGTGGGTGGTGGAAAGGGGCAAACCTTACCTCCAAGTTAACCAGTAAGTGGATTCAACGTGGCAAAAACCCATTTCCTGCAGCCTGCGGGGGAAGACGAGTTCCTTCAACTTGGCAAATTCCAAGTTCCCAAGCCCCCATATCATTGATCGCAGCTTGCGCAGTCCCCCTGTCCTCCGCAGTCCATACATCATGCATTGTTGGACCAAACCTATAAAATTCACATGGTGTGTGTGGCAGTTTGAAATCCATCCAATCCTCTTTCATCTCCCTTTCCCAATACCATTTATTTACATTAATGGCATAGAAATATATTTTATTATTAGACTCACAACATAACTTATTTATTTTAAAATCTGAATTATTGATTAGGTTAATTCGTGTAAGAAAGTCTGAATATATCGGTTTAAATTCATAATTTAACAATATAAGATAGGGAGTTTTACTAATACACGCAAAATATGGGCTGAAATTATAAAAACACTCCACATAAAAAATACTTTATAAACACACCAAAAATCCATTTATTAAACACACTCAAAACCCATTTATAAACACATCCAAAAAATATACAATTGTTGATTTTTGGGTTTATTTTAAGTGTGTTTCTATGTTTTAAATAGTGTTTGGTGTATTTATAATTTCATGTCTAGAATTGAGTGTTTCCCTAATTTTGTATATAAGGTATTCAGCCTCGTGGCTTGTTACATATTCACTTTTGTTATAAAACATAACCCTAAAATATACATTCGTGGTCAACTTATATTTTAACATGTGAATTATTAATAATACGTGACGGTGTTATAGTTGGACACAAAAATTTATCCTCCCCCTTTCACAAAACAAGTTTCACACGAAAACATTAATTTTCCTTTATGACACCCCAATATTCTTGAATATTAAATTCTCCTGATTTTTCCTTTATAAACCCAAAGGACCCCCAACCTTTCTGCACACATCTCTTTGGAGAAACACAAACAACACCCTCTTTCCCAAACCATGTCGTCAACCATGTCCCTAACCATCTTCACTCTCCTCCTTCTCTCCTTCACCCTCTCATCTTATGCCTCAGGCGTTGGCTCTCGAAGCGAGGCCGAGGTCAAACAAATCTACCAAGAATGGCTTGTGAAGCACCAGAAAACCTACAACGGGATTGGAGAGGAAGACAGGAGGTTCGAGATCTTCAAGGACAACTTGAGGTTCATCGATGAGCACAATGCCCAGGACCGTCCCTATAAGGTTGGCCTGAACGCTTTTGCTGACCTGACCAACCAAGAGTACCGTGCCAAGTTTCTGGGCACCAGAAGTGACCCTAAGCGTAGGCTCATGAAAGCCAAGAACCCTAGCCAAAGGTATGCCTTTCGTGCCGGTGAGGCGTTGCCTGAATCTGTGGACTGGAGGGTCAAGGGCGCTGTCAACCCCATCAAAAATCAAGGAAATTGCGGTCAGTAATTTTAAAAAAAAGTTGTTTGGTTGATTAAGGAACTTGATTTACATGGTACTTTGTTCTAAGATGGTTGTTTAATCGGTTTGATTAATCGTGTCGTGTTCGGATTGATCTATAACTCAAGTCGTTTGATTAAAATCGGATTATTTGTGTTCAACACCAACTCTCTCTACTTTTATTTTTATTTTTATTTCTCTGGTACAAATATGCTACAACTTTATTTATTTATTTTTCTGTCCACAAAGGAAAAGTAAATGATAGGGGATGCCCTACATAACACTCCACTGTTGAATTTATTGATCCACCGAAAGGTCGGCAGCCAAGGCTTTGCTAGTAGTTTGGACTTTCGGTTGGGAGTTGAGATTCCTGACAGCTCACGTGAAAGCAGAATTAGAATATTACTTTTTCATTGGTAAAGAAAGGAAGAGAAAAATAAAAGAGTTTTTAAAAGTCTTTTATTTATTTTCTCCTAGTTTATAACAAACGGTATTATTGGGCCCGGTGACTTCATCAGTCGTATAGACTATATTAATTTAGATTATCGCTTGTATTTATATATATATATAAATATCTCTCATCAGTTGCAGAAGAGTCAAATTTTCATGTTTGGTTTGGGCCTTTAAGGACCACCATTAGGCCCACTGGGCCTACATGGGCCAACCCATCTGACAAAGAGATTGAAATTTGTTGGGTGCAGGAAGTTGCTGGGCTTTTTCGACAGTGGCAGCTGTGGAAGGCATTAACCAAATAGTCACAGGCGAATTGGTCTCTCTTTCAGAGCAAGAGCTTGTTGACTGCGACAGGTCGTACAACGCCGGCTGCAACGGAGGCCTCATGGACTATGCCTTTGAGTTCATCATCCAAAACGGTGGCATGGACACTGAAAAAGACTACCCTTACAAAGCATACGACCAACAATGTAACGTTGCTCTGGTCAGTCCCCAGTTTTCAATCCCCATTAACCTAATTACAATAATCTTTTTAGGGTAACGTTCTTTTTTCTTAACAAACAATTTTTTTTTGAATCATAAATTGCAGGAGAACAATAAGGTCGTTAGCATCGACGGATACGAAGATGTTCCTGCTTACAATGAGAACGCTTTGAAGAAAGCCGTGGCACATCAGCCCATTAGCGTTGCTATTGAAGCTGGTGGCATGGCTCTACAACTCTACCAGTCGGTAAGCACCTACATGCATATGACACCGCGTATTTAAATATGACAGTCTTAACAACATAACATGTCTGTAAATTACTCATTGTATTTCGGCGGTGTGATTGGCAGGGTGTTTTTACTGGTGAATGTGGGTCAGCTTTGGACCATGGTGTGGTTGCTGTTGGGTATGGCACGGAGAATGGAACAGACTATTGGCTTGTGAGGAACTCATGGGGCACCGATTGGGGTGAGAGTGGATATTTTAAGATAGAGAGAAACGTGGCTGCCACATACACTGGCAAGTGTGGGATTGCAATGGAGGCTTCTTACCCAACAAAGAAGGACCAAAAGTACCCAACAAGCTCTTTCCTTGCTGAAGAAGACATCAAAATGGTCACAAGTGCTTGAAAATGGTGATGGGCTCTATGTTGACAAAAAGGAGGACGAGGCTAATGTTATTTATTGATTAGGGCAAACCATTGTTTGTAAATAGTTTGATTTATGTACTGAAATTGCACTTGGAAAACTGATAATGGTGCAATCCAAATTCCTATTTCAATGAAAGTTTAGGTCCTGGGATTAAACCAGGCACTTTTTATGTGTATTTCTTGCGGCGTTGTTATTGTTTGCACTTGATTAATCAAAATGTCACATGTAAAGGAATGACTTGAGGTTTGATTTGGAGGCATAAAAGCGAAATTCTATAATAAGGGTGTTATGTCATAGATTGACCTATCATGTGGTCGTTCATATTAACCATAAGATCGTTTCATTAAAATTAAGTGAAGTTACTATTCAGATAAATCCTGTAGCTAATATGAAAATTCATATTTATAGTCCATATATGACCCCACCATCACCATAGAACGACTCGCATCATCAAACCCATCAAGGCCTCCAATGATTTTAAACATTTTTGGGAATGAGTTGTGTGATTTTTAAGAGTACATGGGTCTTGGTTTAGAGAGAATACATGGGCTCCCAACACTTTCTTTTCTGCCTTTGGAAGCCCTCAGAGTTGGCAATGGATATAATTTTGGTTTCACTGGCAAAGCATATAACATAGATCATTTCCTTGCAACTTTGTTAACAGAGTGGAAGGAGGCCACGATTAAACACCAAACTAGCCTTTGTTTTGGTATTAAATATTAATATTCTGTAAACTTCTTCTGTGCATGTTCTTTGTTCCACGTGAAAAATGCAAGAACAGGATGTTTCTGGCAATTATTAATATCATCTCTCCCATCTTCTTTCTACCACGTGCAAGAAAGTCATAAACCTTTTGGGTTCGTTGTCTAATTAGCCACTTGTGTGACTTTGTGGTAGGACCTTGTTTGCTTCCATTAAAGTTCATAAATAAACCCTCTCAACCTTTAATAAGAAAGGAAAATTAGGTGTTTAGGTCATCTACTAACTCATTTTGTGCTCATGTCTAAAATTACGCCGTTTTAAACTTCTATTTAGTTATTTGTTTAAAATTTTAAATCTGATTTTATCCTCTCTTTTTTTTTCCTCCTTAGAGAGCCTCTTCAATCTGATCTAGTGGGGAATTCTTAAATTCAAAATAGCTAGCATGACAATATGATGATGGAACAACATACCCCACAAGTTAGAGACACAAGAATAAACCGTGAGAGGAAGAATAGAACATTACATCTAAAGGGTCTGCATAATTGGTTTAGGTCTATTAAAGTATCAAATAAAAAAATCATCTAAACCCAATTTATATCATGATGTTGGCAACAACCCCATCATTTTCAACCTCTTCATAGTTGTCTTGCCCATTTGCAGGTTGTGCTTTTTATTGCTTAGGATCCAAGCCCAGCATAGAATTCATTCTCAACCAAAAATGGTTGCTGTCTTCAACAAAGAGCTCTTGAGCTGGTACCTCATCACAGTCAAACTCAGAGAAACAGTAGAGTCTGGAATTGCAACAACTCCTACCTCCACTAACAGATCAATTGAATTACCAGAACAAGCTCATCAGCAGGTGCAGAAACAAGAGCAGCAACCATCGCCCCTCCAAGTTGTGATCCAAAATGGTGGTGATAAAAAATATGAAGATGGACCGAAGTCACCAGATTCCGAGTGGGTGATCAACATCAAAGACAAACTTGAACAAGCCGGTCAAGACGATGCAGCAGGTACGTGGGCAAAGCTCTGCATCTACAGAGTCCCCCATTACCTAAGAGAAGGTGATGACAAAGCCATTGTCCCTCAGATTGTGTCATTGGGGCCTTACCACCATGGCAGGAGACGCCTTCGCCAAATGGATCGCCACAAATGGCGTTCGCTTCACCACATGCTCAAGCGTACCAACCAGAACATACAGCTCTATCTGGATTCTATTAAAGAAGTTGAAGAGAAGGCCCGTGCTTGCTATGAAGGACCAGTTGCAATGGGGATCAGCAGCAATGAGTTTGTTGAAATGATGGTGCTTGATGGTTGCTTTGTGCTGGAGCTGTTTCGTGGTGCAGCTGAGGGGTTTAAGCAACTGGGGTACCCGCGAAATGATCCCATCTTTGCAATGCGTGGTTCGATGCATTCGATTCAGAGGGACATGATCATGCTCGAGAATCAGCTTCCACTTTTCATCCTTGATAGGCTGTTGGGGCTGCAGTTTGGAGATCCTGAGCAGAAAGGACTTGTAGCCAAGCTAGCACTTCGGTTTTTTGATCCTTTAATGCCAACAGATGAGCCGTTAACAAAGAGTGATAGAAACAAACTTGAGTCTTCACTTGGATATGCAAACACCTTTGATCCACTCTCTGATCAAGGTGGCCTTCATTGCCTTGATGTGTTCAGGCGAAGTCTATTGCGCAGAGGGCTTCAGCCTACACCGAGAGTTTGGATCAAGAAATGGTCACACGTCAATCGGGTTGCTGATAAGCGGAGGCAACAGTTGATTCATTGTGTTACAGAGCTTAGGGAGGCTGGGATCAAGTTCAAGAAAAGGAAGACAGATCGGTTCTGGGATGTCAAGTTCAAGAATGGGATTCTAAGCATTCCTAGGCTCTTGATCCATGATGGAACCAAGTCTCTTTTTCTCAATCTTATTGCGTTTGAGCAGTGTCATCTTGATTGCAGCAATGACATTACTTCCTATGTGATCTTCATGGACAACTTGATCAACTCTCCACAGGATGTGGGGTACCTCCATTATTGTGGAATTATTGAGCACTGGCTTGGCAGCGATGCTGAGGTTGCTGACCTATTTAACCGACTTTGTCAAGAGGTGGTTTTCGATATCAATGACAGTTATCTTTCTCGTCTGTCGGAGGATGTAAACCGCTACTACAACCACAGGTGGAATGCTTGGCGTGCCAGTTTGAAGCATAACTACTTCAACAATCCATGGGCCACCCTCTCCTTCGTTGCCGCTGTCGTCTTGTTGTTTCTCACTTTTGCGCAGACCTTCTACGGAGTCTATGGCTATTACAGGCCACCAAACTAAAGTTCATCATCCAAAGCATTTCCTCTTACAGTCTTTGGTTGCAGAGTGTGAGTGTGGTTGTGATGCACAAATTCCATACAATACCGTGATTTCACCCATTTTTACAAGCCAAGTCATGCTATACAAACCAAGTTTATAGATTGTTTTGGATACACATTGTAACTAATGCATATGATTCCTATGATCTCATAATTGAAGCAATAAATTATGAAAGAAAGTTTTACTCAAAGAAGCCCTTCATCATCGGCACGACAATGTCCTCTAAGGTATCAATGTCATCCAAACTTCAACAGAGTCTATGTATGATTCCAATTTTTAAAATGATAGCACTACTACCCACAAATGGTCTATGACTACTTCAAGAAATTGTAAAACTTCATCTCTAGTTCAGAAGCTGGGCATAGCTCTTGTGCCACAAACAGGAGACAATAATTACAATTCCAACATAAACAACAACCAATAAGGCAAAAGGCACCTAGATTGATACCTCACAAGAGTCGCATGTGAAAGAAGCATAATCCGAATAAACAACAATTTTCAGCGTTAAGCCGAGGAAATTATCTGAATTGAGCCCAGATTAAAGTACACGATGGAAAGTACAACTAAAAATGACATAACCCAATTGCAGAGGATGGCTAGAATTTCCCACTGCAAAAGCTCATGAAAGTACATGCCACTGGATTAATTATTTGGCAATGGAAAGTAGAGCATGTTCCTTCTATACAAATGGATCGTTTATACTAGAACTCAAAAAGGAAAAAGGCCTTCAGCAACCACTTCATCTTCCCAAAGCAAAATATTACAGAGGGACATAATCAAGCTGGTCCAGAGGGATATTCGAAGGGAAAAATCATCCAAGATGCCAGAATTAGCTCCTAAAGATGATTCCTCCACACCATATATATCTTCCAAAAAAACCCTTGGCTGTTTAACATAATGTATCATGATGTATCAGTATAAATTGTCACCTATAACCTATGTTTAAACAGAAGTGAAAAAAATTAACTGAATGTACCTGAAGATTTCAGTCCCTGGGGAGGAGGCCTGCGGTCTCTGTTGAAGATGAAGAAGCTTTCTTTCCATCGTACCGCTGCAAATCAGAACAACCAAATATGAATCACAAAAGAAACGGGATAATGGGCATGAAACCAATGATTGAAATAAAAAGATGGGAATCACAGAAGACAATGATTGAAATAAAAAGATGGGTTTGTTTAGAGGGTGAAGGCAAACCTGTTTCCCAAAGGAGAAGGGAACGTATTTGTATTTGATCATGTGTACTATCTGTCTCCTCATAGTGAGAACGAAGAGCACCACCCAGTAGAAGAGAAGTATAGGCCAGAACACAGGTACATCAAATGCACTGAAGAACGTCATAACAAAAGCAATGCAAAATGCCTTCGCGATAGAGTACCTTCCACACAGAACCACAAAATCAAAACCAAATTCTATAATAAGAGACTACCAAAAAGGCAATTCAACAAACACAATCAGGGCAATTGCGATTTAAAACCAAAGGCAAGAACTACATAATGAAATGGGGGAATTTACCAGAACTTGAATTCAGGGAGGCGGCGAACGAAGGGTCGAAACTCATCGGATCCGCGGGTGGGAAGGGAGGGGCCGTCGGAGGAGAGGTCGTGGATCTCAGGGTCGACCTGAGGAGAGAGAAATCCGATGAGGAGGTTGAGAATGTAGATCCCCAAGCCATACGACACGACGTAGAAGCCTTGGACCAGGTACACGCGGATGACGTAGACCAAGGCCACGCCCAGGCACGCCAGCCACCGGTGCAGCACGTGCGGCGTCGTACGGTCGAGCACGTGCTGATAACGGCGCGAGACGCCGTAGCTCCAATCGGAGATGGCGGCGAACGGCGATCCCTTGAACGGATCGTCCGCGGCGGCTGCGGCGAGACTCACGCCCGCCGCTCCAGCGTCCATTGCCGAATTTGTTGTTTCTTTGGTGGTCTCTTTTCTTCTGTCTCTATCTCTCTCTCAATTTCTCTCTCTGCGGGCGCGCGGCTTTTTCTGTTTATTTGTTGTCGTTTGATTTGATAAATGCAGAGCTTGAGAATGGTTTTGTTTGGGCTATTTCATTCGGAGGAGGAGACCTCGGTTTACTGATCGTCCGGTTCGACCGGATCTATTTCCGGTTTACTCAGGCACAATTGGATCTGGATGGGATCTGGGCCTGGGCCATGTACGCCTATTGGTCCCACTTGCTTTTTCTTTCTACCTTCATGTTTTTTCTTGTTTTATGTCAATGATCATCAAATTTTTAAGACGAATCTTGGTTTTATAAATTTATTTTTTTAATTAATTTATATATATATATATATATATAGTGAGGGTAGGTAAGATCCGAATACAAGAGTTCGTGTACAAATGTAATAGCTAGAAATAACATCTCACATCACTCCGACCGATGTGTCAAAGCTAATATGGAATGAAGGTTGGAGGTTAAGATGTTATTTTTGACATCCCAAAAGCAAAATGTCAAATGAATATTTTATTAGTTTTAAAGACGGCTGATTGTTACTTTAATTTATTATTTTATTTTTAAATTTTTTTCTTTTTTATCTTAAATGATTTGACTGTTACAATAATTATTTATTTGACATATCGTGTGGAGTGTAAAACTGTCAAAATGTCAAATTGACACATCAGACATCAAATTTAAATTTGATGTTTGGTATTTGACATCTCCCTTGAAGATACTCTTAACAACTTGAGCTATGAACTCCTTATTGGCTCATCCTTTTTATGTAAGGTGCAAAAAAAAACAATTAGGCTTTGACAGGAAAATTTGCATAGACACCCGTGTATGTGGAAAAACTTATCGAGCAACAATCTATGTGCGTATGTGGTCTTTACCTATGTAAGAGAGAAAAACCCAATCTAAAGTCATGTAATATCATATGCATAGACTACCACATCACTAAACTACACACAAGATAGCGGATAAAACGCATCTCTTAACAAAAGGACTTTACTCCAAACAATTACTCAAAAAAACCCATATAATTAATTAGTGGAAGCTTGTATAACGAACAACGGCCAGCAAGAGTGAAAGGTTCATGCGGCGATAATCACACGACATCCCCTTTTCTGCAGCATTCATTTCATTTCAATTTTCATTATAAAACCGTGAAAGGGTCTTCGCCTTTACACAATCCTTTGCTTCAGACCCAGACTCTGTAACGGTAAGTGATCTCACATTTCCCATTCGATACTTTTATATGCTACAATTTGGCACCTGATCTTTTGAATTGATCAATTCGATCGGTAAATGTTGAAGCGAGTAGATTCGCAGTACATAAATTCATGAATATGAAATTTCACATTGTCCATCGCAAAAGCAATCTTGACAGATCTTCCTCTTTGTGATGTATGGTGCATTGTTATTCATCAACAACTTCAATTGTTGTCTTCAACCCATGTTTCTATTTGATGCATTTATTAGCTTTGTGATGAATGTGAATGCTTTGATTAAATCCTTCATCTGTGTTCCAAGTTCCAATGATTGAGCTTCTATCTGAAGATGAAATGAACCCTTTTGCTTATTTTCCTGTTATAAAGCAATCACTTTGTTGGTGGTATCTATTGATGTGGACTTGTAGTGATACATGCTCTACCTGGGTAGTTTTTAGGATCTCCATTGAGTTCCAGAATGGATTCAAAATCTAATGACTCGAAAGCTCAACCTCCTGCTCAAGATTCTGGTGTTGAACATTCTACTGCTGCTGCTGCCTCTGGTCAAGATAATAGTAATCAATATGCCAAAGCGGTCTCTGGGGTTTTTCAATCATTTACAAAAGGTTTGGTTAATACATCTCAAAGTGCAGTGAAGGCTGTGCAGGTCAGGGCTCGCCATCTAGTCTCTCAAAACAAACGAAGATACCAGGTAGATTACCAGAGTTGAGAGCTACTTCAATTTTTATTTCTTCTAGATTAAATACTGCTGAGTGTAGCTACAAATTCAAGTATTTATTTCCATTTGGATTTCTGTTAGAATGCGAATGGCGGTTTATGGATGGGGAAGCTGGGTAGGTTGCTAGCTTCTGTTATCTCCCTTTAGTTGATTGTCATTGCTTCATGTCTCCATCATAGATTGCCATATTCATTTTCAAATCGTACAGATTAAATCAAAGAGCCAAAACTCATGAAGATCGCCTATGTCATCTATTTCCACTAAATTTTCAGGAGGGAGGTTTTGATTTGGATCTGACATATATTACTGAAAATATAATTGCTATGGGTTTCCCGGCTGGAGATATAAGCTCTGGAATTTTTGGATATGTTGAGGTAAGAAAAGAAAGTGGTATATGTTTGAAGTTTAATAGGTTAAGTTCGCCTGTATCATTTGCAAACATTACCAACTAAAAAAAATGTTATTCAGGGCTTTTATAGAAATCATATGGAAGAAGTGATCAACTTTTTGGAAACTCAACACAAGGTAAGGACTGGGTCTTAAATTTTAACTGAAATTTTAACTTTTTACTTTATGCAACATGAAAATCTGGTTATGATTCAAGAAAAGATCAGCATTCCACTAATTACCAGAAGAAAAGTTGTAGGCTTAAGAATATGGTTTTACATTTCTCTGGATCATGTCCAGTTATGGTTCTGTCGTTTTTTAAATTGTGACTTCATTGTTTTTTGGCCAACTATTTATTCACAAAATTTATGTCAAATTGACATTTGTTTTACAGGGAAAATATAAAGTGTACAATCTTTGTTCAGAGAGGTTGTATGATGCATCACGATTTGAGGGGAAGGTGTGTTTTCATTTTCACTTGCATTATGTTCAATGCTTAACGAGAAGTATAGGAATTTGATATTCTGTCTTATGGAAAATTGCACGAGTCAAAATTTTCTCTGGTATATCTATTGGCATAACTCAATACATTAAATTCTTGTCTTTGTACCAGATAGCCATGGTGGAATGTCAATTACTTGTCAGTGCACCAGGTTGTGAGACTGTGTCACTAAGATTTCTGGTTCTTGATGTTTGCACAAATGTGTAGCCTTATAATGGAAAAATTAAGGCTAGGTTAAGTGCTTGAATTTTTTATTATTTTTACACAAATTGCTGATGACTTCTGTATCACTGAGGGAGCTTTTAAAGTTTTCCACTTCAAACTCACATCTCGATTAAATAACAAAATAGACACTAATGAAATCATAAATATATTATGTGAATGATGTGAAACACTTAATGGGAGCTATGATTTATCTTCTCTGTGTTATATATTGAGAAAGAATACTGTTGAAAGCATGCCACTGGGATTTGAATATTTATTTAGAATGTGAAATGGATCGAGAGTTTTTAACTTTTCAATGTTGCACTTCTGTTTTCCAGTTATGTTAAATAACAGCTTCTTTAATCTTTCACTTCTCTGAATGTTTTAAGGCTGCAAGTTTCCCATTTGATGATCATAATTGCCCCCAGTCGAACTCATAGCATCATTCTGTCGAAGTGCTCATTCGTGGTTAAAGGAGGGCATTGAAAATGTTGTTGTTGTTCATTGTAAAGCTGGTATGGGGAGGACAGGATTAATGATTTGTAGTCTTCTCTTATTTCTTAAGGTGAGATGTATAATCAGAACCGTTACGGTTTGGGGGGTTTATGGCGGAACTTGAAATGTTGCGCTCTTTTGGATCTATAGTTCTTCACTTCTGACTATAATTTCATTTTTCTTTTGTCATCTCTCTGCAGTTTTTCCCGACGGCCGAGGAGGCCATTAATTACTATAACCATAAAAGATGTATAGATGGAAAGGCTCTGGTTCTCCCAAGTCAGATTGTCAGTGTCAATTAACCTTTTTGATTCTGTATTTTTAAGGTTGATATTCCTTATCTTTTGCCATCATTCTGATTAACAATTTTTCTATGCTTTTCCTAGAGATACGTCAAATATTTTGAGCATATCTTAAAAAACTTCAATGGAGAAAACCCTTCCCCTCGAAGGTACACTTCGGATATCTTCCTCCAAATAGATCAATGTGACCATTTACTTGTATGTGCCCATATATTATCACACACACACACACACACACACACACACACATATGTATATACATGCATATGTATGTGATATGGCGGTGTTGTAATGAGGAACTAATTTGGGGACTTAAGTTGAAGACTTGCATTTGAGCTATTGGATTGGTTATAGATGGTTAAGGTGCATAGTGGGTGAGATGCATCTCAGTCGTCTATAGCTAAAGTTCTCAACATAGATCACATTATTTGATCACCTACCTGTATATTATGTGTGTGTGTGTGTGTAAGGCTCCATTTTAAAAGGTACTAAAGTTGTAATATTATAGGTGCATGCTCAGGGGATTTCGACTTCACAACTGCCCTTATGGATTAGGCCCTCCATTACAATCTCTGATCATAATGGTAGCCTTTTACTTTGCTGCTGCCACTCATTCCTATCATCCTTGCAATATATTGTGGTGTTTTGAGTCATCACACTTTTCATTTATAGATATAATATGCTGTTATATTTGTTAATGTTGATCCTTTTTCTGCTACTGTTCACTTCCTGAATTAGTTTCTATTGGACCTTTGAGTTTGTTCGGGTAAAAAGAGCATTTACGATGAGAGAATGTAATACTGAGTTACAGACCGCACTTCTCAGAGTTACCCTTGTGTATTAATACAATCCTTGATGCTGTAATGATAATACATTTTGTTTGTTTGTGTGTGTACGTGTGATTATCCTCTCAGCACTGATGTTTGATTGTTGAGTTTTCTTGCGTGTGCATGTTTTTATAAGGCCTGATCATGAGAGGAAATCTCTGTAACTTGTAATGAAACTTACAGTATAATGTCAGTTTTGATTCCTGCAATTCTTGTGATTTCTTTTTTGTATAATGTCAAATGTATAGAATTTTTTTTTCCCCACTTTTGCACATTTAGAAGGCTATGCACTGCGCTTGTCATTTTTTTATGTCACTTATCAAGATGTTTTCCTTAATCCACAGGAATTTTATTTTCATCAAGAAAACATCCAAAAACAAAAGATCTAATGGTAAGTGTTTGTTAAAATAAAATGGGTGCATATTAATTGTATGCTTGTTATTTGATCTCCTTAACACCTATGTCGACGTGTATTGAATTCCTTATTTAAAGGCCCCCAACTCATTTTTTTCAGCCAGAGGATTTCTGGATCAATGCACGGAAGAAAGGGATTGTAGTTTTTGCTCTACCAGGGCAGCCTGGTCTGGCTGAGTTAGTGGGGGATTTCAAAATCCATTTCCATGATAGCCAAGGAGATTTCTATTGGTCTGTACACCGATTCTTTATTTACTCTTGTTATGTTATGATTGAACTGTCCACTGTTTTAATGAAGAATGTAGAGATCTGTAACTTGTGTCATGCATTGTTTGAAGGAACCTGCTTAGTAACATAATTTATGATTTCTTTCATAATTATTCCCTTTGTTTTTTTACTTTCAGCTGGTTAAATACAATGACAGATAACAGAAAAATCTTAACCGCAGATGACCTCGATGGTTTTGACAAGGTAAATGGTGTGACCTTGTGACATATAATGTATATCAAATGTAGATCATATCTCCCTTTTTCTACCATCTGTTTCTATTTCTTCTTGGTGCTTGCTGGTGAAAGACTGTTGGTTGTGATTTGCAGAGAAAATTACCTTCTCCAGGATTTCAGGTTGAAGTTGTGATGATAGACTATGATGGTACATTACCTACAAAAGCTAAAGCAGATTCTTCCAGTAGAAAACCTGAGGGTAGCTCAAGTGATGCCTCTGTTTCAAGTCATGGTGGTGCAGCTAATCCCAATCAAAATAAAACTCCTCAGCGTCAAGATGGTGATGATGTATTTTCAGATAGTGACGGAGAGGAGGCTGGGGATACAAAGAGCACACAAGCACAAGGTAATTCTAGCACTGGACTTCCAGCACCTAATCATGTATCTAACACCAGAAGTGAGGATACCTCGAAGAGTAGTTCTTTGAAAAAAACCAACTAGTGATGGAGTTGAAAAATCTCACCTGGGTCCATCACTCCCGCAAGCTGAGCTCATCTGGGGCAGAGGATATTAGGGCAATAGCTGCGGATGCTTCAGTATTCTCTTTCGGGGATGATGATTTTGATAGTGAATGAAGCAGGCTTGCCGTTGCTTGAAACTGTATAAGACACACCAATGTATAAAACATTCCATACACATGATTACATTGATTTTGGAAGGATCATAGGAATCGGATGTTGGTTGATTGACTTCATTGTTTTCACCATAGGAATCAAATGTTAAGTAGGAATGATTGGTCATTTGTTATTACCTTCCAGTTTCTTTGGTCTGTCCCTAGTGGCCAATCAAATAGAAAATGAAGACAGAGAAGAGCAAATTTGAACAGGGGAAAGAGAAAACTGCTCGAGACGTTCACAAGTTTTTCTTTTTCAAATTTAACAAAATCCACCAGTCAGTCGGTCATTCTTTGTTCAGCTAGAATTCATCCCAAGGGAATTTGCTAAATATACCGGGCAGAATTTTTAAAACTATTGTCAGGTGACAGAATATCACAATGAGTATCATATATAATTCTAGCTAAACGAAGAAAACTGACTGGTAATAGAAACGGGTTCTGCCTTCTTAATGAGCAAAATGATTCAATGTTTGAAAGAGCACCTCTATTCGTACCTGAACCAATTGAACTCAAATGGCAACACATTAACCATACATCTATTCCTTTTCTGTTTAGAATAAACAAACATATTATCACCACTAAAAAATACATATAACCACTATTACATTCCCAAAAAGAAAAAACATTCTGCATCATGGAAAAAATTCCCTTAGATGAAGCTGCCAAAACTGGCATACTTTTCAATGAAAGTCACACAGGGAACCGTAATGCAGAAAAAGACCTTCAACCTGTTCTTTTTGTGGCTGGATGGCATCTGCCCATCACACTTAAAGAGTTACAAGTTCGCCAAAAAATTTGCAATGTCATGCCTTCCAAAGCAGCGGATAATTTTAGAATAATTCAGGGCCACACTTAAAATTCTACTTCCCTTTTTTCTTTCCCCCTTGGTATTTGGAAACAATCTTATTCAGTGTCGAGATTTCAAATTCCTTATTTTTAAGTTGCTGCTTCAATCCTTCAATCTCTTTTAAATGATCACAACACTGCTCTGACACCTTTTGTTGTTCTTGCTTCAATCTTTCTATCTCTTTAAGGTGGTCGCAGCACTGACTTAAGTCTGCCACCATCTCCTCTTCTATATTCTGATCTGTCTTTTGTTTCTTATGTACACCTGAGTTCTCTTCAACTTCTAGAGCTCTCTTAGAAGAGACTGGGCACAGGATCATCTTGTGCCATTTTCGAAGTATAAATCAGTTAATACACCCTTGCTGAGCTTAAATGAAATAAGCTTCTGTGGTCGCCCAGATGAGTCCTATATAATAAGATAGATTAACAACATTATCTATTTATAACCAACTAGATCATAGTGCCTTGATAGAAGATGAAGTTCCTTGTAATGACAATTAACCTCATCACTTAAAAGAAACACAAATGAAAATCAAACTGCTAGTATACCCAGAAAATACACTTGCATGAAAAGAAAGGATGTACATATAAAATATTATATACGTGATCAGCATTGTGAATGATATAAATATACGTATATGGTATGTACCTTTTCCTTGTTGCCTTGGACTTTTTCATATGCTTGATCTGCTTCTTGTGGATTCTTAAAGATAGCAAAGGCAGAATATTTATCTCCTGAGCTTAACAGAAGGTTGCTGGAAATGATTAACCACATTAATTCCACAGTAAGAAGCAGGGGAAAAAAAGAGGAAGGTTGGAGAGAGAAAAACATGATACCCAGACTATTTATCAAAATGCAAGCAGCCAATTTAGTATCCTTCACATGATGTGTGGAGGTCTTTTGCATGTAGAACAGTATCGTAATGCCTCCAAAGCACACTGAACCAACGTAATCTATAGAAAATTTAACAAATCAAGGGATATATATTGAACTTGACTTCTATTGTATAGTTCCCAGGAATGGCATTGTGCAATTCTTCACTAGGCACTGTGATTGGTATCCTGTGGAGAAGTAGCTTTGCCATATTAACTTCACGTACCTACAATGAAAGAGTATTAGGACAATAATAGTGTACCTGGAATCACTGCCTTGGGGTTTTAAAATATAATGAAAAATTAAAAAACTCACATCCTCCTGAACTGGGGGGATAATATCGCCAATTTCACGCTTATCTTAGCAAGAACAAGTTTCATTGCAGCACAAGCTCATCTAGACAATTGTGTGGAGAAACCTGGCTTCCGGACTTCATAACCCAATACAGACTGGAAAAAACCAAAAGATAAATGGAAAAATAAGTCAAGACTCATGCATCTCAAACAGCCCAAACTCATGGTTGCTTTGATTTCACTCTTGTGATTGTGATCCAAATCCTTAAAAACTTAATCCTAAAAATAGCTCCCAAGTGCAATTATGCAATGCCAAAAAAAAACCGAGATCAATCACAAGTTATCTATCCCACCATCCTAAACAGCCAAATTCAGAAAACATTGCTACATTGCAAAAGTAAGGAAGTAAAGATCAAAAGATTTCTGGTCATTCCAAAATTTAAATGGATGAAGAAAAAATGAGAATCAATTGCAGAATCATGCCATAGACAACTTAATAGATTTCACAGTGAGAACTATATGAATATTTGACTGATATTAAAGTGAGATTAGCAGTTTTGTAAAACTTGCCTGCACAATTATCAAGGAAGGTTTTCTAAAAATAGGCCATCCGATATTTAAAGATATTGCAGTATCAATCACCCTTGCATGGTCTATCTTCAATGCTGTAAACAAAAGAATAATAATAAGAAGAAAATTGAACAATAAAACAGAAATCAAAAGAACTGCAAAGTCATATTGCACAGAAACTGAAAGGAAAACAAAATTCAATGAGTTGATTATGCAATCAAAAAGGCTCAAGTATACTTATAGAAACATCAGTTTACTTACCTGGCAGGTCATTACACAAACTGTGTCCCACTAAAATAGTTTCACCTGATAACAACTTCTTCAAGCGTTTCTACAATATGCAACAAGAAGTTCGGGTATTTAAAAATAAAATATGTCATAGATGATCCCTTGAAAACCAGATGATAAAAAAACCTTTGAAACCTATAAAAACATTAATACCTGTATATCAGCCAATGTACATGTAACTATCCAAATCTGATGCAGAAACTCCTGTAATCTCAGTTCTGTAATCAGCAACTTTTTTACGAGGGTTTTACTAGTTCATCTAGCTTGACCTGAAAGGCCAAAGTCCAAATTTAAAGGGTTATAGAGAAGGGATTTTGAAAAGGTCCAACTACTAATCAGGTATCTAGTCTAAGGAGGAGAGCAGCTATACCTGTAAATTTTCATCAACAACACACACTGTTACTAGAGCTTCAGAGCCATCTTCACATAGAACCATCTCACAATCAACAGCAACCATTCCATTTGAAAGTCGTCGCCTGGACTTTTTACCGCGTTTGAAACTACCCAGTCCTGCTTTGCCCTTTACATAAGTTAACAAAACCAGATGACCAGGTAAAAACTTACATCCATTTGAAGAAATTAAGATGTCAAAAAGGATCATAGGCAAGTAGAAACAGATATTCTGTGTAGGAAGTAAAAAGGGAAGCTAAAAGACATGCGGAAATGCAAGAAAAGATTTGCACTGCAAGCATACACAAATTTATGTAACTTTAAAACAAAAGTAAGCAGAAGATACTGCCAGCAAACCGTTCATGTGAAGGAAATGAGTAATCCAATGGATATTGTGGGTGTTCGAAGAGTTGAACGGACAAGACTCTGCACAGCCACCACCACGACAAATTAATACTATCTAACAAATGTGCATATTGAAAAAAATGGCAATTAAACATTATGCAACATGGCTCTCTGAAACTACTGGCAGCCAACCAATAACCAAATTTACAGAAAGAATACCTGCTCTGGGGATTCATTTTCTGGAAAAGTCTTAACAATTGATCAACTGCTTGGCGATTTGAATGGCATTGGACAACTTTAGCCAAAACCTGGCATTAGGAAATGGGTAACATCATCGTCTGAATAAAGTATCATCTCAAAAAGTGTAGAACTTAAAAGTTGAAACTCCCCATGCACACTCTGGACACAGTTGATTTACCTTCAAGTCATCCTCTTTATCAAATGTCTTCAAATACGCAGTCAATACATCATTTGACCTCTTTCCGGGATCACTCAAGCTAGCCCCAAACTTCTTATCATAAATATTTAAGAACTGCTTCCAGTCTCCTTTATTACCCTTCATTCCCCGCTTTTGGGACAACTTCACAATTTCCACAAGGACCTATCCACCACACATTTTAAGAGTCAAACCCAGTCACACAAAGCATCCAACTTTCCCATAAATTTAACAATACTGCATATTGAAAAATATAGAGAGAAGCTAAATTAAACTTGAAAGTTGATAAATTGTTAGCTTGAATTTGTTTCTAATAGGGTTTCTCGGCAACCAAACAAACATAAGTATACGCGGAAACCAAGCGAACTGAGAAAATTTATGAGCTAAGAGTTTGAGCCTGTAGTGAGATATAAAGACAAAGGAAGAACCTTTTTCTCTGCGGTGGCGATTAAAAGCATCCATTGGAGTTTCTGGGGAAGGACAAATGCCAGGCACAGAGTCACGGCGCGAAGTTGGTGTGCGGGCGGCTGATGGACAAACCGGTGACGAGGGTTTTCGTTTTCCGTATAGGTTTTAAACTTAGCATATATAGATTTCTGAGATATTCAAGGGTATTTTGGATATTTATTTAGTTTCCATTTCTTTTGCCTCCTCGCCCTGGATTAGTTATAAAGGTGCGGACCAAATCTACAGCAAAAAAGTGTGGACTAAACTAATGACTGTTAAGAATTGGATTAGATGTAAGAATCCAAATAATTTTTTTGATATAAACCAAAAAAAATGGCTAAAGTGATCATTAAAAAAAAAAAAAAACAACTTCTTGGTTTATTATTAGCCACCAAGGAAAAGAAGGGGGGAGGAAACCAATCTGACTTCTTTTCATATTCGATGGGGACAACCAACTTTTATTGAGACAGTAATGTTGTCAAGTGAACGTACATGCGCACACAAGAGTACGCGGTGGAAGTCAAGTTCCTTCCTACTGCCAATTCCAAGGTAACGGTGTGTGCGTGCGTGTAGAATCATTAATTATTTACTTAGAGCTAGAGTTTAAATTTAGCCTAGGATAGGATTGGTCTCAAAATTCTGAGATTTCTCAACACGCGGCGTAAGTATATAGAAATTAACTTCTTGTTGATCTTTGTCCGCAATCAACATAGGTGTTCAGTTGAGATTGTTCGTTATAATGGGAAGAATACCGTACCTGGGCCCAAACACATGCAGTCTACTAAAGGAATTAATGTTGCGTGGTACTCCACGACCACGAGCACGCACCCAAGGTGTCGGAGACATGATAATGGATCATGAAGCAGCGCAACACATATGATCAACAAATGCTTCTGTCAAAAGGCTGTCCCGGAAAAGGGCTTCCAGGACGACGCCTATGTCGCCGGACGATCTTGACCATCATTGACTTGCCTTCCTACTAACGCGCGGAAAGCAAACTACAAATGGGAAGACACTATGGAGCTGTGCGGAAGATATAGACAACATTGGGAGTAAAAGAGAGGTTGGGGTGGAAAGTAAGTAAATGGAGTTGTTTTGTGAAGGAGAAGGCGATGTGGAAGCAATTTGAAACCCTATGAGATTTTCGATGTTTGGTCGCTGTAGGGTCCTGTGGACGAGTGTTTCATTCTATACATCATCAACAAAGCTCCATGCATTGGAAAAAGGTGGCCGGGAAGTGCTGTTCGACAAGAATCTCAATTTTATCAATGGTGATGGGAGCGTTTGAGAGTGAAGAAGAGTCGAAGCAGGGAGGAGCACCACTAGTTATCAAGGAATGATTTACACATTACTAGGCACCAATCTTTATTATAGAGCTTGCATGAATTTGAAGGAACGTTTGAGCACTTAGTTAGACTGGCTGCTATCTAGATGTGCGGCATTAAACGAAATATTGTGATAGGTAGGTACCCAAATTGCTTTTGTATTAGTGCGAATCAACATTGTAGTAGTGTGTTCTAGAGCGAAGGTCAGGCCGCGGTACATAAAACGACACTGAAAAGTTCATACCCCCAAAAGGCCAAAAGGAACGGAAATGAACGACACGCTATGGTGCCACGGAGGTTGAAGCGAGACACTCGGTATACCAAATTGCCGTTTTCTTAGGGTTTTGAAAGCAAGAACAACACAAAAAGTAAAAGTTAATGAGTCCCTAACGTCCAAGACTCGTGGGGTTACGTTATAAGGTTGGAGATGAACTAAGACTTCTCTTCATCCACTTTGAATGACTGCGAAGGTCATGACGGGCAAGCATTGGAAATGGCTCTCCAATTAGAAACACACTACCAGACCATCAATTAAAATATTAGAGCATGCTTTCTACCAATAAGGGGGATATATGACACCGAGTGGGATTATAATATTCCGTGTCGTGGACAAAGCCAGTCAGAAGTTTGGGGGGTAGGTTATAACGAGATCAAGGAGATGTAATCCTCTGACCATAAATAGCAGTAAGTGTCTCTGAAATCTTCTGCGACGGCTTTCGGGAAATCCAGTCATTCGCGAGGAGGAGACAAGGACTAAATGTACTTTCAGAATTCTTACAAGATGCTAAAAACCAATTTTGAATATCCTCTATATTGTTAGAGTAGGAAATGTCGACGTTCTAGAATGAAACTACAGAATTTACAATTGATGTTGAGTGTGGAAGTGGCAGCAGTTCAGGATTACAAGATTGAAATACCTACAGGCAAGAGGAAATCGTTTTAGCAACAGGAACTTTATGTGACAAGCCAGAATCCCTCGGCAGTGCCGTTTTCGCCTCATCAAGTTTAAGAATAAACAGTTTTCTTAATCCATAAAGGTTTTATATTAGTTTCCCAAAACTATTTCTAACAAAATGCTGCAGATGTTTGAGAAGGAAAATAACACGATTTACAAACTGCCAATTGGTAGTGCTATATATTTAGTTAATCGAGCATAGCATGACAAGACCTTCGTATGGAAGCCATTAGCCCCTCAACGTTGTAGGAAAGGGAATTGACAAGTCAGCTTGGAAGCAAGTTTGTTTGCCATTGCATCACATGTACAGGGATATCAAGTTTCTGGGACATCCCTGAAAACAGATTTGTACAGGATTTAGTTTTTCTGAGACAAATAAAATTAAAATTTAAAAGAGAAGAGAAAGGATAAAGAATATTATAAGACCAACAGAGGAAAAGCAGACAAAACAAAACGGGCGTGAAATAAAAACGAAAAGGACAATTGATAATCTGAATATGCTTTAATGTAATCTCTGTGTACTATATAATTGCACATGACTATATGCAAAAGATTACCCAGAAATTAGTAAGAGATGTCCAGCTTTACAGATGAAGTAGATAAAGGAAAAAGAAATTACCTCAAGAAAACCAATAGTGTTTACCATGACAGTGAGTCAGGACACTGCCATCACGTTGACTCAGTATGAGCCTCTAATTTCTTAGTACACTGCTGCATACACTAAGCAGGAGGACCAGATAAACTCTGGAGTACCCCAGAAAGGAAATGCCTCCCTACACTTGCTGTGTAAGAGAAGACAGATGTGCCTTGCCCTGTAAGGGACAGATTCTTCTCAATTTCTCTTCAGGTGTCTTTGATCAAAAGATGAAAGTCTTTCAACAATTTCAGCAGGACTCCTCTTTGCTCTAACTCCTGCCCTCACAACTTTGCTGCCCATTAGCCTGTTTCTCACACAGTACCGCCACCACCGTCTCGCAATCTTTACCCATAACCGAATATCTATCAAAAGACCCTATGCCAATGCCAAGGTACCACTGCCGACCTTGCCAGTTTCCGAGACCGAGGAACAACGGACCATGCACCGCCCGCGCAGCATTCCGCTTCTTTTTTTTTTTTTTTTTTTTTTTTTTTTTTTTTTTTTTTTTTTTTTTTTTTTTTTTTTTTTTTTTTTTTTTTTTTTTTTTTTTTTTTTTTTTTTTTTTTTTTTTTTTTTTTTTTTTTTTTTTTTTTTTTTTTTTTTTTTTTTTTTTTTTTTTTTTTTTTTTTTTTTTTTTTTTTTTTTTTTTTTTTTTTTTTTTTTTTTTTTTTTTTTTTTTTTTTTTTTTTTTTTTTTTTTTTTTTTTTTTTTTTTTTTTTTTTTTTTTTTTTTTTTTTTTTTTTTTTTTTTTTTTTTTTTTTTTTTTTTTTTTTTTTTTTTTTTTTTTTTTTTTTTTTTTTTTTTTTTTTTTTTTTTTTTTTTTTTTTTTTTTTTTTTTTTTTTTTTTTTTTTTTTGGGGTTTACTTCTTGAGCTCCATTGTTTGTAATTGTTAGATAGTTTTGGGTTTGGGACTCAGAATGTGTGGGGTGTAATTATATAGGCATGCATACAGGTTATGAGTTGCTCACACTACTCCTAGCTTGACATGCTTTGAATTGTGAATTTAGGGATGTGTGGATTGGGATTGAGAAGGGCGTTGTGATGATTTTTTCCATCATCCATATCATACAGATGTAATTTAATAAGTTTCCTACTATCTTTTTCATAAATAAAGAAAAGCTGCGTTCTCATATCAAAGAATCTTGCAAATCATGTTAAGGTTCTAAAAATTTACAACAATGGTGCATGTCTTTTCTTAGCAATACCCTGTTGTTATAGGCTCCTATTGATGGCTGCACATTTGAAAATCTTTGCAATTCATTAGTCTCATGTTCGAACCTTCGTGTCTCTTTGATAGTATGAAAAACCCCCTCCTCTTGTTGTTTTCACTATCACTTGTATTCAAAAAAATAATAATAATAAAATCAGGTTATTGCTGATAGGCAACAATTTGGTCAAAATTGGTTAGAAATTTGGTCAAGCTCAAAATCAACTGACCTCAATCTTTCTCAGCATCATTTTAGTTATAAAATGGAGTGTAAGTGGATAAAATTGGAGTGAAAAATCACTACTCATCCACAATTGCATCTTTCTGCCTTATTAGGTCAACCACGCGTCAGCATGAGCATGGAAGCATTAAGCAACTTGAGGTCCCACTCTACTACAAATGTCAAGTGGTGTTAGCTTCCAAGCTCTTCTTATTTTCTTCTTTGTCGGGCCTTGACCATTATTGAAGTTTTCTGAGAGTGAAATACTAAGAGAATTTCCAGCTCTTTGGGCTGGCCCTGGCAGAAGAGGGACTGGGCCGTTTGGCTCTTCCAGCGCGCTAGAGCATCCTGGGAAAATGGTGGGGGCTATCGATTCAGGCAAGCCCAAAGGCAAATTGAGCTCATGCTATTGCCCGAAAGTTGATGATGTCAGCATTGACACCAAGCTGGCGCCTTCTCTTTTCATTAATATGATGGTTTTTATCTTCTTTCTATATAGACTTGGATTCACCATAAATTATTGTGTCTCTTACACGTGATTTGGGAGACACTTAATGGTTTATTATAATTTGCCAAAAAATGCCTGACCTTATTTAATTTCAGCACTGTTTTTTTAATTGAAAAATGAAAGTATCAGGTTCGCTTTCAGCATTTCATATGAAAAGC